ATGTTGTACAAGATTTGCAGCAAATTTGTGAGCCAGTTTCCAGTACAGTGCTAGTGTGGCCTTAGTGGTGTTAAAGGAATGTAAGCCTGTGTAGAAGCATGTCTTTAACTGCATTTGACAGTCTGTGTTCCTCCCAGGATGGAGTGTGGTGGAAGCTTCACAGATGGTGCTGTGATGAATAAAGAGGGGATCTGCACAGAGACAGATGCCATAACAGGAGGCCTGTGTGTCTTCCTCTATGAACCCACCCTTACTGCATATGCATGCTATTACTGCATATGCATTACAATGGAGCCAACTAAAGGAAATGGCCTCATCTGTTTTAAGGGAAAGCACACAGAAAATGAAGTACAATAAGTTGTTTTGTTTTTCCGTGTAGGGGTTGATGAAAAATACAGATGGAAAAGGCTTCGATGCACTGATCTAAAAGTGGTGTTTCAACTGCAGTGATTTAAGAATGATTCTGATTGATTTTAATAAAATTCAGTAAAGGATGCAGCCTTTTATGGACTACTTTTAAACTTAAAAGACAAAAAAGTCAATTGTCCATGTTCGACTAAACGTAAAAAAATAGCTGCTTAAAGGTTAAATTCAGTCGATTTTAATGTGTGCATTGGGTCAACATGATATGTTACATCGATATAATTATTGTATAAGTCCTCAATTGACTTAATAAGTTGATGTAACATATTTAATTTTTTGTGGAACTGATGTACACATTTGAATCGTGAGAATGCAACAACTTTTTTTTCGGTGTACTAGATGGATGGAGGGATGGATGGATGGATGGATGGATGGATGGATGGATGATAGATAGATAGATAGATAGATAGATAGATAGATAGATAGTCATGTAATTCATTATAGGCACATACAACCACTTAATACAATTTAATCATGTCAATTCAAAGCACCACTTATACTGCAGCGTTAAAGCAACAGGGGCATAAAACTGGGAACATCAGCACATATATTAATTATCTAATGAAAAAAGTTTGCAAGTTACATGGACAGTTGGCAGTATCGCAGAAAGCTGTTCTCTTGATAGCTTGCAGTAGTTTTCTGTGTAGAGCAGCAGTTTTTAGCGCACAGTGACGCTGGCAGCATAATTTATATTTGTGCAGTTAATGTATTTTTCAAATAATCCTAAAAAGAGACGCCACAGTACCGCTTTTTCTTTCTCCATACTGATATTCAAACTTTGAGTATCTTCCAATAGCGATACCAGCACAATATTACTTCTTTAAAATCTACTAAACATTAAGATGAGCTATTTTTATTTTTTCACTCGAGATAAGCATCTAAAAGTAGACTCAGTCACTGCACTACCCCACAGGCATTGGCCTATATTTAAGGCTATATTTGTTACAGGATCAGATCATATAGTCAATTCATAAGACATGACCGAATTAGAATGTGTGTATGTGTATGATGTAGCATCATGAACCTCTTAACTGTGTGTTTACTGGAGCTCTGGAGTGATTCAGTGGTGCCCTGCGGGACTGTTAATAACATAAGCCTGTCTAAGCTAGCATACTCATGCGCAAGCAGATGTCTTCTACCATACATGAATACACACACACAGTCACACACAAAGGCAGAACGAGGTACATACATTGCCCACACACTTGTGTCAGGACATGGGGTCATATATATCCCCATATATATATATATATTACAGGCTGTGTACAGTACTGTGCAGAAGCTTTAGCCACCTGAGAAAATTAGATTTAAGAAATCATTTAACTTCAAATCATTTAACATTCTAGGCTTATTTCAGACTGAGACTTACTATTCATAAGTAACTACAGGGACTTCAATGTAAACTGGCTAAGCTATTCCTAGGTTATTGGTTATCCTAAGTGAGTAATAAAACTTTGGGCCCACCAGTGGGCACTGGCCATTTAAGAGGTTAAGTGTTTATTTGCTTGAAAACCTAACATTAAAATAAAATCAAACAACACTAACACAAAAAGTGGTGATTTTAAGTATGTCCATGTTTTAAGTATGTCAAAAATACAGTTATTGTCCAGATAATAAACAATTTAATTGGATACCTAAGACTATTGCACAGTACTGTATGTAAGTGCCTAACGCTAAACCAAGTCTAAACTCTGTTTCAGTAACCAGAAAGAAATAGATTTGCCCTTTTAGTTTTTAAACAATGAAACTTGGAATTTTGTTTTAAAAACTTTGTTAAAAGCTCTTGACAAAGTCAGGGCCATTTTTCTGGTCATTACATTGTAGGTTAGCTTTGTTTTTAACTTGTTTTCTGAAAAAAATCAGGGCATTTTGTACCTGACCATGTATGAAAACAAACACACACATGCAGGGAAGGGATATTCCTCTTACTCATTGGATATAGTGACCTCATATGCCATGACTCACACACCATTTACGACCGTTGGTCAGCTGTCCAGACAGCTTGCTGTGTACTCATTGACTGGTAAAGACTCACAGCTCTCTACACCTCACAGGCATTTACTTTGACAATGATCTTTAACTACTTATGACACCTTTCTCCATTGTGTCCAGTGGAAGAATAGATTGCCCCCCAGCCCCTCCTCCACCCGGTGTGAAAACTGCCTTTACCAACTGCTCCCTGCCATCCACAGTGTGTGTGCTGGGCCTTTCACTGTGAGCTGACACACACATGACTTATATCACTCATCTTAGGCTAAACCACACCAGCAGGAGGGATTTTGCCCTGACAGCTCTTTTCAGTTTTGGACTGTAACTTTGAGCTGGGCTTGACTCCTATATACTTACATACTAGTTTTATAGTGGTTACAAAATAATAAATAATACGTTTTAAAGGGCCCATATGCTACATTGAATCTTTTTCCTTTAAGGCCCCTTATGATATATATATATATATATATATATATATATGAGCAGTCTCTGTACTGATTGGCTGCCTTCTATTGTGCCTTGTTTAAAAAGCAGTTCAGGCTGAAACACTTATAACTTCAGGGCCTAAACTGCTATTGGCTGAATGTGCTCATATATGCAAATGATTTGTCTTTTTCTGTGACATCACAAAAACTAAATTCAAAAGGGCTGTTTTGCAGCATATTTTTCAGATATGGACGGGGGACTGGGGCTTTGAAACTTAAACAGTGTTTATATATTACATCAAAGTCTTTTATTTCAGTAAAAGTGAAGTAGACTTGTTTTTCCATAATATGGGCCCTTTAAAATGAATAACTTAAGAAGAAGCCTTCAGTTTAAGGAGTTTAAGAAACCAGTTCAGTCAGGAAATGCTAATGTTGCCAAGACTAAATGAAACCAGACAGCCATCAATTAGCATTATGCAAGTGCATTTTTGCAAATTGGTGGCCACTAGCTTTAACTCACTGTTAGCCATTTCAGCAATCTATGCTTTTTAAGAAAGGATTTAGGATTCTTTTACATGTTTCCTGTTTGCTGTGACCATCTGAATGTGGGGCTTTGTTTTGCCTGAGATAGTGTTCAGATAGAGTCCATTCTCACAGTGCTCTGCTCCACATGGTGAGCAGCAAGTCTCAGCATGCTCATTCATTCACCCTCCCTCCCTCTCTCTCTCTCTCTCTCTCTCTCACTGGGTGGCCAAGGAGCAACTGCTGCAGCTCAAAAAGCCTTCAACAACAGCTGCAACACAGTGAACCTCACCATGCTGCCACTATAGCAGGCTTTACTCTATGTGTCTACTGCTTCTCTGTCCTCGTTTTGCCATTTAATATCATCACACAATGACTGTAACATTCATTCGCAGTATGACTGAAACAGCAGTTGGTGGCAGTGCCTAAAACTGAAGCTTGAATATAAAGTGGCTTACTTTTTCACTACTATAGACGTTCCCTAGTGGGTGGGCGATAAGCTGAAAATACAATGTCACTACAATGTAATATAAATATAATGTCAATACTTTGAGACAGTTTCTTCCATCATGATATTTAGTTTTTCTAAAGTTTGATAAGTTGGAGGAGAGAAGAAAGGCACTATCTAAAAATATAATCAAAAACTAGAAGTACTTTTCTTTACTAAATCCAATTAAACAGGACTAATTATGCCTTCTTTCATAAGGAAATGTGCAGTTCAGTGTTCGTCAACTCCTTACAATTCCAGGCTTATTACATACTAAGGCTTATTATTCAGTAACTAGAAGAACTTTAATGCAAACTGGCTGAGCTATTCTTGGAAATGTGCAGTAAAACTTGGTGGGCCCTGGCCTTTTAAGCGGTTAAGGATCGACAGAATGATCAGAGAAAAACATATTGAGACATAATCTATCTCAATAGCAGTTAGAATAATACCCTAATGTTCCCTTAACAGTAAATGGAGCCAGTTTAGGGAAACAATCTCAGTCATAAGTGTTTTATGGGAAAGTAAACAGAAAAATAAATATAATTGGCTCCTGTTTTTTATGCCACATTTTGTATTTTATGTTTTTTTATGTTAAACACAAAAATAGATAGATTAGCAGAAAAAATGGCATATTTGAGTTCAGTTGTAGAGGATGTTTTCACTTATTTTCACTTAGAAAACAACAAAACCGTTGTATATGACTGTCTACAAAAAAAGGTTTATCTGTCAGCTAAAGAACCGAACTTTTCAAAGTGAAAAGGTGGAAGACCTTCAGCAGTGCTAGAAAAAAGGAAAATGATGTTATAAATAAAGTTTAGAGAGTTAATTGGTGTTGCTCCAGTGGACACAACAGCAGTGGCTTTGTAAGTGGAGGCACAGGGGGAAAAACTGACCATGCTGGGCAAGCCAGACTCAGGCCTAGGATGACAGCCAACAAACATGTGCACATACACACACACACACAGAGTCACTCGCACACACACACTGAATGACTGCCTCTTGAGCACATTATTTCCCCGCTTTTTTACTTTTTCTGCTTAAGAAAGCCAGCACGTCTTAAAGGCCTTTCTTTCTCTCTCTCTCTTTTCTTTCTTTCTCTAGCTCTCACTCCCCTCCTTAGAAGGAGTCCCGGGCCGGCATTCTTCCGTACTTACACAGATGGTGAGTGCTCCTGCCCCCATTCTTCTTCTCCCAGGAAGAGTCTTTAAAGAAAGAGTGATGAGTTCTTCAAACTCACTCTCCTCTTCCTCCTCACACAGCTCCCGCAAACATTCCACAACAATAAAGGCCACAAGGCAAGAACACTAGGATTAGTCCATCGCTCGTCCATTCCACATCCAGTGCGGAAGTCTCAGTCAGTCTGGAGTTAGTCTGAGGGAAGTGGAATCCCTCCGGTCAGCCTCCTTCTCTCCAGACCTCTATACGGATTAGAGCCTCCTATTGAAATCTGAGCCCTACGCTGTGATTGGCCAGCTGATCAGGTCATGTGACTACCAGGCTGAAACTTTCAAAGGAATGAGGGTGAAAAGCCAAAGACTCATCACTGGTCTTTACTCACACTGAAACAGTGATGCATTGAATTTACTAGATTTATGAATTCTGTATGAATAGCATCTATAATGTCAACACAGTTAAGTAAACCAAAACACAAAGCTGTGTTGATGAACCAAACTGTCGCATCTGCAAAGCTAAACTTTTCCATATGTAAAAGAACTATATTTTCATATATTTTTCAAAATGTGTGTCAAGTTTGTAATATAGTTAGACGTTTTTGACATGTAGTCACACGCCCATGAACACCCCTGATCAAATTGCAGATTTTGTTGGTCTTCTAAATGAAAATAAGTGAAAACATTCTCTGCAGGAAAGAAGCTTAAATATGATGTTTTTCTGCAAAATTTAATGCACAATGTACACAGTGTTTATTTGATGAGTATAAAAAAAATAACATAAAATGTCCCATAACTTTTTTTACAGGCCACATTTTATGTTTTACTTTATATTCCAATATAATAATTTCAGTAAATAAACAATAAACAATAGTAAAATGTACAGAAGTGTGTTCTCTGTAAAGGACATGTTCACTTATTTTCACTTAGAAAATCAACAAAATAGGCAAACTGACCAAGGTTTTCTTAACATGTGTATGACTGTATAAGTAAATATTAAAATTTGTCACTATTACATGTTACATATGTAGTCTACATATGTGCAGATATTGTCATATATTTAAATATTCAAAAATGACATTTAAATGTAATTATATATGTGTGTCTATATATATTTGCAAATCTCATAGACCCATATTTTATTCACAATAGAACATTGAACACTTATCAGATGTTAAAAGTGAGACATTTTTACCATTTACCATTTCAAACATTAACTCATTTAGAACTTGGTGGCAGCAACGCATGTCAAAAAAGTTGGGACGGGACAACAAAAGGCTGGAAAGTAAGTGGTACTTATAAAAAACAGCTGGAAGAGCAATTCGCAACTAACTCACATGACTGATTATAAAAAGAGCATTTTAGAGAGGCAGAGGCTCTCAGAAGCAAAGATGGACAGAGATTCAGCAACCAGCGAAAAACTGTGTATAAAAATTGTGGAACAATTTCAGAAAAATGTTCCTCAACTAAGTAAGGCTAATTATTTTAAAATATTATTTATTTTTCCTGAAGCATTGCTTATAATTTTCATGGCCTGCTGTCAGCTTGAATAATCATTTACAGAAACATTACCAGCTAAAACAAAGCAATTTTTATTTCTTTAAGACAAGATTCTAAGGGGAGAATATTTTTCATAGAAATCATTTAAAAAAACAATATTTAAAAGAACTTTACCATAACGTACAGCCTAAAACTTTGAATCATATAAATTATGAATACAGGAACTGAAGAGACCATACAGCGATAATGTCTACTAATTTCTCTCTGACCGTAGTGGGGTATTGTTAGTATTTTGATGAAGCAACACATTTTCCACTTTATGGAATACTGTCAGTTTAAATAATTGTCAACCCAAAAACCTGCAAAATACAGCACCTGTTTTACATTTTTCCCTTAAGAACTACAGTGCTTTACACTTTACAAAGTACAAACTGCACAGAATATTGTTATATTCTGTTGTTTAACCACTTTTTCACATTCAATTTCATAAAAAGTCTATAAAAACAGAATAAGCTACCATTATTGCAATATCTCTACCTCTAGTCTGTGTCTCTCTGTCTCTGATCTCTCTCTCTCTCAGATCTCATGCAGCTGCAGAGTTTTCGTAAACATAACGCTTGATGTTGTCCTCTATCCAGTGGTTGAAGGCAGACACTCGGGTGAACACTGGAGGTTTCTTGTTCATGATGCAGCCTAAAGGACCGAAGCTGACAACACCGTGCACCTCCCACTGGTCACTGCCATCAGGACGGCATGAAAGCGGACCCCCTGAGTCACCCTGGTGGGAAAGAGAGGGGAAAATGAGGGTTTGAGTATGAGAGCAAGCAGCCAAGTAGTGAGAAATTGGACGAAACGATGAGAACAAGATAAAAAAGAAGAGAACAGTACATAGATTTATGGCTGCTTTTGGGGTTGAAGTGGCGCAAATCAGATTTTTAGGGCAGATTTTTAGGGACGCGCGATGATATCGGATTCATATCGATATCGGCAGACAATGCAATGTCCCTCCAGAACTGGACTGACACACACGCCTTAAACTGCAGGCTTATTATTCAGGGGTCATTCTACAGAAACATCCATTTTTGTGTCCCTAACATTTATAGATATATTACACTTAAAAAACATGTTAGGGTTACAATTTATTTATATTTTAAAATAAAACAATAAGTTATTTTAACAATTACACCTTCTTGAGCCTCAATTTAGCAATATTGGTTTTTAAATCAATTATACAGAATTCCAGGCACCACAGAAGTGCACGTCCTCACAGTCATGAGGCCATATTTTGAAGAAAAACACATTTTCTGCAGTTTTAACTACAATAATCTATACATGACTATAGAATATATAGATTAAATGACATAAAGAAAACAAACGCCAAATAAATATTATAAAATTTATAATGAAAGTTGTGCCCCCCAGGAGTCATGTCACTGGTGTTACTGCATAAAAAATCTCTTATTTTGAAATAAAAATCACACTGATGACATCACTTGACTTCCTTTTACCTATTTTCTGAGGATCTATTAAAAAAGCCCTTGGTAGGTCCACTGTGTCTTTTCAGTTTTCTCATTTAGCTCATGATTTCATATGAAGCTTTTAGTTGAAGTCACTGGTGTGACCTACTTTATTCTTAGGTCATTGTGAAAAAATACAAATGGATTAAATTACATATTTTAGTGGATATTCCATGATTGACAACATGTGGTTTGATGCTCTGAAGCAGCCATTTTGGTAAAAATCCATTTTTCATTAAAAATGTCACTGGTGTTACTGTCTCTGGTGTTACCTTCCTTTTGTGTAACACCAAAAAGAGGATTGGTAACCCCAGTGACACATATAGATAGATGAAAAAGTGGACGTTTCTGTAGAATGACCCTCAGTCATTAATCTTAAGACTACAGTAACTACTAAACATTACTATGAAACTAATATGCAAATTATGTGGATCTTTCTACCAAATTGTTTCAGAACTAAAAACAGATCAGACTTAGACTTTAGACTAAACCTCTTTTGCTTCGAAAGTCGTTCTACCTTAATTATGTATATTTTCTTAAAATAAATGATTGAACCTTCCATTTTGCTACTACCAAATCAAGCATAACACTACTGAAACTTTAGCTTTTAACTTTTCGTTGGTGACAATTTTAGCTAATTTTGAGCATAATTTGAAAACACTAGCCAGTACATGACAAGCAAACACAGCTTTAAACAGTTTTGTGCACATAAAATCATAATATTTTATTCAAACACAAAAATTGACTTAATTGTGTTTTAGTAGTGACAGTTCTTAATGTTACACACTGATTTTTAGGCTTTGGGACACATGAACTTCAACATAATGGGTTCTGACTGCTCACCATGTGAAAATGAGGGACAGCGATGCAGTTTCACTTCCTGCTCTGAAATTCAGAGGCGTGGCTAAAATAAGGCTCCGCCTATGGACTAAAACTCTTTGTTTGTTTCAGTAGCGATATGAAAACGGACAGCATTTTCTGAATAAATTTAAAAGAAATCAAAATATTGAGAAAATGTATGAAATGAAGAAACATTGAGAAAAAATAGAAGTATTATTTTCACAAGTTGAAATTTTGGGGTTAGGGTTTGGACAGATACCTCATAATAAAAAGTACTCAATAGATGATGATTTTGTATATATTTAGCTTATTACTATTAACTTATCTCTATTATTGCCTTGAGTTTAAATAGATCATAACATAATAATTGTAATTAAGGTCTGAAAACGTAATTGTCCGTGGGCCGCAGTTTAAACTAATTTGGTAGAATGGTCCAAATATGAAAGTGAAAAACTGAATAATGGGCCCACATACAGGCCTGTGCAGTATAAGGGGGATACAGATATTTTGGGAAATCATCTTCCATCGAGGAAAAAACGATCTTGTCCTAAATGCCACGTGGTAGTCCAATAAACAGAGAGGATTTGCATGTACTGATTCTAAAGGAGCTACGAGTCTGTCACGTTCTGACAAAAGAATCTTCTGGAGTCCCATCACTGACAAATAGAACAAAAGGCCCCAATTTGGACACGATGTATCAGACAGGGGGCCGCAGTCATTCAGGGTCTGTGACTACAAACAAGTCTCATTCAGGACTTTATGTAACACAGCTCGATTATGAAGAACGGTGGCAGCTTATGCAACTGTGCAGAGCCCCGTGAGACTGAGTGGGGCTGACACTCGTTTTCATCTGCAGTTATTCCTCAACGTCAAGTCTGATATCACTGCTGTCACAACGAAACCTTCCCTCACCGTTTCTGACAGTTTCAGCTTTTTTTGCATATATTGAAAGATGACTGAATTGGAACAGCTCTAAACAGTGTGCTGTGCTGTCACAGTTCAGCTGAAGCAGAGGACATTTTTCTCCTCAAAAGTTTCTGGTATAGAAATAACAGTTTCTAAAGCGAAAATAATCATATGCAAATAAATTATTGATGGCATTAATAATAACAGTTTTTCCAATGTTGCACTTATGAGTTGAAAACCATATTAAATAGAGAAAATAATGTCACCTTTTACTCTCATGGCTTTACTTTCATGGCTCTTTTACTGCCCTGTTGCAGCTCCAACAGCAGAATCAGATTTTTAGGTAAAAATACAATAATCCACCTTTGCAGTAAAATAAAACCCTGCTGAGCGTTCTAGCACCCGTGCTTTAACACAGTTTTAACAATAAATGGTCTTAAATGCTGGAGTTAATGTATAACTGCTTATTCACCCTTTAACCCTGAAGGCTGGTGCACAGACTGCTGGTCACATAGCGACACAGACAGCAATCTTGCCAAGATTTAAGGCCAACATCAATAATTTGGAAACAAAGGGACATATTTTCATTAATAAGCACTCAGCTGGCTTCCTGATATGTTTAATCTGCAACGAGAAACTGTCGAACACAAAAAAGTCAGGAAGAAGAAACAAAGAAGCTGGTGAATGACAAGCTGACTTCAGCCTTGTAAAAAGTTGAACATTATAAGACATTTTACAAGACACTGTTCTACTTTTGTGGAAAAGTTTCCTGCTGGAGATGTGAGAAAAAGTGGCTATAGCTGAGCTAAAGCTTAAAGCAGAGCAAAGTAAGTCTGAGTTTTCGTTGATATTATATTTTTAGCCTATACTAGGACATCAGCACATACTGAGACATATTTACAGCCAAAATGGTGAAACGTTACTTCAATAAAATGGACATGAAATGCTGTGGCTCTCAAGGTGGTTAGATTTTTGTTAAAACATGACAAAATGGCTCTTCTTAACATGTGGGTTGCCGACCTCAGACCTACAACAAATGCCAAGCTGGATGACTAACAGGTAATATTCATTTTATTCATTGACCAAACCCAAGTGAATCTTTTCAATGCAGGACTTCAAATGGCATTGAGTAGCACATTTTCACTACAACATAAAACCAATAATTGCTTGATAGTCATCTTGATAAGAATCCATGTCTTGCTTAAAGGGGAATTCCACCCTTTTTGTCTAAATTTCTGCATAATTAAATGGTTCGGATGAAGTCCTGCAGAGTGGTTTGATGTGAAATGCTCGATTGTAGAGAAACTTACAAGGCAGAATTGTTCAAAGTGGTGGTGATAGGAACCAGATGTCCAGAGCATTTGCCTCTTGAAGTTACCTCACAGAAAGGTTTTACATAAAATGGCTATACGCTGCCTGATGCCAATTCGCTTTGAGGTAAGGTTTTGGTCATTTAGAGTGTTGTAAGGCCAAATAGTTCCCAAATAAAAACAATATTTTGGTTGGTTCAATAGTCATTTTGGATAATAAATAAAATGGCTATGTTTGTGTTGTAGTCATTGAGACCCCTGGTTCCTGTTAGCACCACTGTAAGGAAATCTGAGTCAGTAAGCTTCTCTACAATGAACCATTTCACATCAAACCTGACTTGTTTACATCTCACCAATGGAATTATGGAATTATTATGGAAACAATGGAATTACCAAATGACACAACACTATTCCAGCCAATCAGCAACAGGGGACGAGTAACTCACAGAACCTATAGCTCAGTATTCTTTTGTCCCTTATGCTAATGTTTGTGATAGCTAATCACAACTGGTTAGCTTCACAGCAGCAACTGTAGCTACAGTTTGCTAACCTAGCTAACGTTAGTTACATTGCTTGCTGTGTCATTGTTCACTGTAATGTTATATAATCGTATTGTTTGCGAAGGGTTTTATGGCACAAAGACCTAAAAAAGGAGAGAGTTGGGCCCAATCCCATTTCACCCCTTGCCCCTACCACTTAGCCCTCCATTTTGCACCTTGTCTAGGGTTAGGATGTCTTGCTTTTTGTTGAGATAGAGGGGTAGGGTGAAGTGTTAAGGCCACATCACCCTTCAAACGGCGGCAGTATTGACGCCTGAAGCGCCAGAATGTTACTGCTGCTCCATTTAAGATGGAACAGGAAAATTTGAAAGAGAAGCTGGCGTTTAAGCTTTATATCACCAAAGAATTAGGGGTGGGTGATAATGAATCTTTTTTTACACCCCCCCTCTTTGAAGGCATATGATGCCCTAAATTTACCTTAAGCCCAGCAGTGAGGAGCTGAACTTTACCCTCCTCTGCTATCACTGCAGACTGGCAGGGCCTACAGAGCACTGCTAATAGCCTGTTAATGAAGTAATGCCCTTTTTATTTGAGGGTCCCATTTCTTAGGGGAAGATTTCAACCACTACCTGTTGTGACCCAGTTCCGAGGGGGAAGGTGACATTCGAAAACAAGGGGTAGGGGTAAAAATAAGAAACGGGATTGGGTCTTGGTTTCCTAATTAAACAAGTTTGCTAGCCCAGTGTTTGCCTAGGCAATGCACGTCCATACATTTAGGGGGCGGAGCTTCTGAAGGAGCACTGAAGGGAGGGGTCTATTTGTTTTGCTGTTGAGTTCAAATATGAATGATTGAGTGATTGTAAATACTAAAGCGATTCAGTTAAATCTACTTATCTCTTAAAATGTTACGTAAATCCATTCATTTCTTTGGCCTGTAGCTTTGAGTTTATGGAAAACAGTATTTAAATCCACTAATTAATAACATTAAAAGAGGTCAGATGTCAATTATACTGAAACAGTACACATGCATATTCATCTCGGTTTCTTCCCATACCTGGCAGGAAGACTTCAGCTCATCAGGTTGCTCATAGCCGGCGCAGATCATGGAGGGCCGGATGCCATCCCACCAGTAGCTGGGTTTGCTGCATGTTTCATAGGGCACAATGGGCAGAGGAGCCTGGTTCAAACTCTTTGATGCCACAGGCTTCAGGCTGCCTGTAAAATAAATACCAAAATCAGCTTGATTAAAAGCTGCTATATGTAATAACAAATGTAATAATATACATTTTACTCATTCATTGCTAAGCACATTTTATTCAGAGAAAAGACTATCAAACAGAAGCTTGCATGCTAGTATATAATGCAATGATGAAGCCAGGTGGCATTTAATGGCTTACAAGCTGTGTGTGAATTCAGCTCGGAACAACAGATGCAGTCTCACATCATTACTCACCATCAAACTGTCAGAGTAACTGAAAACTAGAGGCATACAAATGGAGCAGATTGCTGCATTGGCCATTAGATCATGATGAATGATTATATGAATTTTGTATTTGCCTTTGTAGTATAGGAAGTTGGAGCTTACTGCACACCATTGTATTATAGGGCAAATTGTTTGCAAATGAATACTTCAACTAAAAATGCTAGTGTTACTTAAAATTAATGAAAGCCAGAAGCTTAGCATGATGCAAATGAAAACATAACATGCTCCTTTTTTCATATATTGTTAGTCACATTAGCGTTTTGCGGAGAATAATTCCTTTCATAATATGCTACTTTGAATGTGCTGTGTTGACAGTTTCTCGCAGTGTCATTTCTGAGGACCTTCTCTGACCTTTCTCGTCTCCCCAGCCAGTGACGTAGCATATGTGGCCAGCGGGCATGAGCGCCTCAGGTTTGGGCAGACACACAGGGCTGATCTCTGGAGTATTGGTAATGGGTTTGGCCAGTCGCACCAGGGCAATGTCGTTGATGGTATCGTTTTCAGGGTAGATGAAGCCCTCATGGGAGATGATGGCAGCGACAGAAACACACGTCTCAGGGGGACCGTCCAGACTGGAGTTAAGATGGTGCTTCCCCAAACACATCTGCCATACGTCAGGAGTTAGGAGGCTGAAGAAGACAGAAGGAGAGAAATGTTGATGAACAACTGGATCAATGAATGCATGGAAAGATAGATAATAGATAAAGACATACTCAAATATGACATATTGACATATATGTCCAAAAGTTCATAGACACCTGCTCATCCAACGTTCTTCTGAATCAGGGGTATAAAGAGGGAGTTTGTACCCCCTTTGCTGCAGTAACAACTTATGCTCATCGAGGAAAGCTTAATTATAAATGTTGGAACATTGCTGTGAGCATTTGATTGCATTCAGCCACAAGAGTGTTAGTGAGGTGAATTACTGATGATGGATGATAAGTTCTTGAAGCGCCATTGCATTGTCCCAAATGTATTGGATGGTGTTCCATCACTGCATAGAGCAGTGCTGGGGGACTTCATACCACTCTAGCTGATGCTTGCCGTTAAGTATTGTGACCTTAAAATTGTGTGGCTTTCAGAACGTCCCTTTATATTGGCAATGGGATGTTCTGTCTGAGCATCTGGATACATTTGGACAGAGGTGGGAAGAAATCACTAAGTTGCTAGTAACAAGCAAGTCTCAAGTCTTCTCGCTCTAGTCTCGAGTCAAGTCCCAAGTCAAGATAGTTGAGTCTCGATTCAAGTCCCGAGTCAGTACAGGCAAGTGTCAAGTCCCTAGTCAATAGTCCTAATCTTTGAGTCCTAAACAAGTCAGTCTGCATTCTTCAGCTAATTTAAGGCCACAACGCTGAATAATGGTAACAGTACTATAGCCTTGTAATGACAGCATGTTAGCAGTGTATGGCTGTATATTAATTGTTTATTATTATATTTTATATATTTTTTTTACCCTTCCAACTAAAATACAAAGTCCATAGAACACAAATAACCATGACAGGCATGCTGGTATACACAAAGAGTAGAGAATTTTAAAAATACTACTGTACATAATTAACTAAAAAAACTTTATATTTTAATATCATTTTTAATGTTTTTTTTGGGAACCTTGGGTGCAGGATTAAAATAAAAACTAGGTTAGCCAACTAAAAACAATCACTAGTTTGAATTGAATTTAGATGACAGAGCTGAACAAATTTTACAGAAAAGACAGCAAAATGATGGTTAATGTACAAAGCTGAAGTTGACTTTTTTTGCCAGCAGCATCTTATTTGGATTTTCTGTTCCACCTTAAATGAAGCAGTTACGTTCCGGCGCCTAAGTGCTACACCATTTAAGGTGGAACGACCAATTCCGAAAAGAAGCTGGCGAATAAAAAGGCAACTTCAGCCTCGTGGTGAATGTTGCACTTCTTTTACCTGCAGAAGCTGTTAAAATTGGTCGACTAGAGAGAGCTGTGTGTCTTTTGTTTCGCTACCATGAGGGAAATGGTCAGCTCGCCTGGTAAGTTTCTCCAGTAAGAGTTTAAGTGCTGAACTGGGCTTATCGATGCTATTGATGCTTCCCTTTTTGCCAGCTTATGGTGGCGAACTTGAGCTCTAATGCTTCTCTTGTCTTCCAAAATAAAATAAGCAGAGCAAAAGCTCATTAACAGACATTTGACGTTGCTGTTCATTCAATTTATGGCAGGAAACGGATTCATTCAGTTCATCTGAGTCCCATCTGCAGTCAGACTCTCCACGTTTCTTCCACTTTAAGTCTCAAATCTTTCCGAGTCATGACACTCAAGTCCGAGTCAGAGTCCAAGTCAGTGGTGTTCAAGTCAAAGTTGAGTCGCACGTCTTTCTTGATTTTATTAAGACAAGTCTAAAGTCATCAAATTCGTGACTTGAGTTGGACTCGAGTCCAAGTTATGTGACTCGAGTCTACACCTCTTCTTTTGGACATAGCGTAAATATTGTTGTTGTGAGAAAACTTCATATCTCTGAAATGGAACTTTATAGAAGGAGGAATTAAACTTAATTTAACATGATTTTGGACCTTTTCTGTTGGTCCATTCATCATGAAATGTACACACAATGTAAAGGGTTGCTGGCATTTTCAGTGGTGTAAGTAGTGTGTGTGTTCCTTACTCAATAAAGCAGTGGGCAGCAGTGAGGATCCACTGTTCATGAATCAGTGATCCTCCACATTCGTGCTGGAAGGGTGTGGATGGAGATGACTGAGCCTGGTGAAGTCACACAAACATACATTATTAGTATTGATAAAAGCTGATTAATCAAGTGTAAACCCATTTGAGAATATTTTGTTCTCACCTGCATGGACACCTGCCATGGCCAGGAGTGAGGCTTAGCCTCCACTCCATTCACCACCCTGGCCACATGAGTGATGGGACTGATGGCTGGAGTTCCACATTCTGCTGGCCAGTCTAAGAGGAAGACATGGTCAACATCAAACACAATAGTTCAAGTACAAGTATGAACACTGCTGATCATTTTTGCTATGCCACTGCATGTGAAAACATGTAATGTTCTGGAGTGTAGTTGAAACAAGCACTTCATTCCCTGATGGGTCACATACACTGTACAAAAAATACTCTGCAAATTTAAAGTAGCTTATTGGTAGCAGAGATTACTGTAGATTACTGTAGTCAACAATATCATCTTTTATGAATATTATATATGCACACATATATTAGGAAAAGAAAGAGTTAAAACAGCAGTTTAAAAAAAATAAAATAAAAAGTGCACGTTAAATTGTGTCTTAAATACGTTTGAGTGAAAACAAAACTAAAAAAAAAATCAGTTATTCTTTCTAAAGTATTTACTAAAGGATACACTTAAAAACTGCAATATACAGAATAAAAACATGTTACCTGCACATCTTATAACCTCCAAAGGTCAGTGCTTAAGCTAGAGCTGTACAGTATTAAACTCTATGTGGGAAAGTGAATGTACACCACTGTTAGCTTGGCACCCATATGACATTAACCTTATAAACCCTTAATATGTGATCCTTAAAATGAAGTGTTATCAAAAAGGGATATAAAGTGAAAAAATAGATTTTAGACTGCAATTTCTGAACCAATTAAATTTGTGAGGTCTGTCGCAATTGGCTTGCTCATGGGGGCTCGGACCCGGATTTTTCTGTAAAGCTGCTTTGTGACAACACCTGTTGTAAAAAGCACTATATAAATAAACTTTGACTTGACTTTCAACTTGTATTATAGCAAAATGCCTGAGAATATACGACTATATCTTTTGAAAACTATGCTTATTTCAATTATTAACTGTAAGTTACTGCCCTGTAATTGCAATTTACTGCAATTATATCATTATTTAGCATGTGATTTTTACCTCTGTCAGAAACAAATGAATGAAAAAGTGTCTGAGTTACATAGTTAGAGAGTAACAGTTATATAAGGATGCTTACTGATGACCACATCGTCCCATGGGTTGGGGGCCAGAGGGGGCAGAGTTGGAAAGACGTTGGGATCAGTGGTCCAGTAACCACGGAAACCCTTTTCCTGCACTTCCTTGTTGGTGCGGAAGCGGATGGTGGCTCTGTCTCCGGTGACAGTCAGCTTGGGTGGCAAAAAGCCGCAGAACTGACCTGAGCAAACAGAAACACAAGTGTCAGCTTTTGACCATCTGACCAGCGGGACCCTTATGACTGAAGGGGTTTATATATACATTTTCATATATAAAACATCTGTTCAGTATTAATCTCATAGACAGACCTGTGGTTCAGTAACTTGATCTGGTCTGAATTCTTCTATTTGAGAAGATTTTTTTCTTTCATTAAAGATTAAACACTAAACACTAATCTACATTTAACTACCCTAATTAACACTTAATGCTAATCTACACTTAACTACACTAATTAACATTAAACACTAATCTATTCCGCTAATTCCTGCTTACTTTGTCTAAATACTCAGTTCATCCATCAAGATATCTGCTAATGTCTCTCATTGGTATAATGTGTCTATTCCAACCTTGACTTTGCCCAGCAGCATCAAAGACCTCCACAAAGTCCACACATTTGCCAAGGACGTTGACCGCCTGCAGCTCAAAGTGAGTGAAGACGATGTGGAGGCTCTCGGCTGAGGGGCTAGAGATGGTCCAGGTGCAGGCCGCTTGGTCAGGGTAGTTATTGGGCCAGTTGGGTGACTGGAGCTCTCCCTGCTGACCAACAAATTCTCCACCACACCCAACCAGATCTGTGAATAAAGACAGAAGTAATGAAGGTGACAAAAGGATAAATACGAGTGTTAATCTAAGACCTCACACAAATCCCTGATTCCAGAATTCTTTATGAAATTATTCAATTCATCATGAAATCTCAAATTTCCCCCATTTCGATTTCTTTTTGATTATTTTGGCATAATATAGTTTATAGTTTATAGTTATTTAAACAAATAAACGTACACAAATGTGACTCAGATGTCCTAGTGGAACATAGAAAAACAATACATCGAGCCTTTTTATGTTTGGAAGTAGCTCACAAATTTTATTTTGGAGAAAAAATGAGCTCATACTTTAGTGAATGTTATTCTAACATTATCAGTGCACTTGAATTGCCACCACTGATGGACTGATTCAATCCCTGCTTTACTAAAGCTACTCCTTACTTACATATGGCAGAAATGTCACAGTCATTATTTGGTGTCTTGAATGTAGCTAAGAGTTTATGCCCAAAATCAAACAGTTCCCAAAACAACCTGAGAGTGCTCAGTGAAATAAAACAAAGATTTTGCAACACCGCATGGTTTCCATGGTTTCCAAAGTAAAAAATATTAAAATTTTAATTCATTCATAAAAATTAATAATAAATAATAATAACTGCTTGTGATCTTAAAATAATCACATACTTTCTTGGCAAGCAATTACACATTTTTGGAGTTTGCCATTATTTTGACTGACCAAGCCATCATTAATCACAAGTTATTATTTTAACTTAATGAGTCAAAGTTTGAGCCTGAAACAAATAATTAAAAACTATTTTCTTCCTGTTTTTCTTCCGATGTGTTAATTACGAAGTTGCGCCTGTGTTCATTTAGAAGATAATCTGATGACTGGGGTGACACCAGCTTAAAGTGTTGGTGGATTGTCAGTAATCAGTGCCTCTCTTAGTAAATCTGCCCACAGTCTTTAATTTCGTAAGACTTTTTTCATGCTTTTACCTCCTACGGAAAAGAGTTTGTGCCAAAAATACTGCTTGTTGGAAAGCAAGATACCTGTGCGTTGACTATGTTTCAATGCGGATTGTATTCAAATCAGGTCCAAATTCATCATTTTGTATTTTTAAATGCAAATCCTTATGTACTGTTTATCAGTGAAGAGGTCAAGTGAAATGAAAACAATGTAACAGAAGTTTGACTTTTCATTTTGGCATATATTCCTCATGTCATTACATTCAACATAAAAAAAATTCAATGTACAAACGCTGTCACCGGGGCAGTACGTCTTCAGTACCTTTAGTTAGGAAGCGTTGTGCCATATTCCACTACAGTTATACTCTTTAAGTTGCATTGACTCAGTACAGCCTGTCGTGACTCCAGAATCTGTATTATTTATACTTTACCAAGTTTACCAAGGATAGAAAGACACACCTTTCCTCTGTGCTCCTCAAGTCATTACAATCTCCGGGAAAGTGAATGTAGTGCACCTTCAAAACTCATTTAAGGTACACAGTTTGACCTTATGGTCCATATTGTATTTTTGAAGTTACATTTCCATTGTTTGCACCCTGGGGACAAAACCCTTTTTTCTGACAGTGTATGGAAAAGTAATGTCATGTGTACATCGCATTTCATGTTTTTCCACTACAGTGATGTAGTGTATTGTGTGTTTATGTGTGTTTAGAGTGAGACGGTGACTCACTACTGATGTCTGCTGGGTCCACGGCTCTCCATGTGGCTTTGAAGCCTGTGTCCACCACCTTGTCATTGGAGGAGAAATGGACAGTCAGTGCGGTGCCAGCAGCAACCAGGTCTGCTGGAGGGGATGTGCTGCAGTGGGTGCCTGAGGGAGAAATCACATTTCATTTATACATTACACACATCCATTTACCGATCAGGCATAACATTATGACCACCTCCTTGTTTCTACGCTCATTGTCCATTTTATCAGCTCCACTTACTGTATAGGTGCACTTTGTAGTTCTACAGTTACAGACTGTAGTCCATCTATTTCTCTGCATACTTTATTAGCCCCCTTTTACCCTGTTCTTCAGTGTTCAGGACCCCCATGGACCCTCACAGAGCAGGTACTATTTGGGTGGTGGATCATTCTCAGCACTGCAGTAACACTGACATGGTGGTGGTGTGTTAGTGTGTGTTGTGCTGGTACAAGTGGAACAGACACAGCAGTGCTGCTGGAGTTTTTAAACACCTTTTTAAACAAGAGCTGGATTTTAGCTCAGTAATCAGATGGATGATTCTCAGTGCATGTAAACTCTTTTGATTTCTTTTGGATTTCTCTGTCTGCGCATGTGCGAAAACAGATGGCGGTACCAGGTGCAAGATGGCAGTGAAACACTTTTGGAGCAATGCTGAAACCAACTACACGCTTGATGAAATGAAGGATTTAAATTTTCTTCATCTTCTAGATGATGTATATTCATACTTTCAGGTAAAGTGATGCGAAGTTTTAAAAAAAAGCAGCGGCATAGAGTTTATTGGTCTGTTGCAAAGCAGAAATCCGACTACTGCCTGACTGATGTAGACCCCGAGTTTTCTCATTATCTGATTTCTTAAGTGCATGTTAATGTGTTGATCGGATTACTGACATAGTCTGATTTTCTGCAGTTATCGGATTATTAAATACATGTAAACACACTCAGTGTTGTACATGAAAAATGTTTCACTTGACCATGAAAAATGACATATATTTTCTGTGTTTTCACTCTTATTTTGTTTTTTGTTTTGTTTTTGTTTAAATAAGACATGTCAATCAATATTGCTGAATTAGTCCTTACATTAAATAAAATATAAAAGAAAAATGTTTTACAGCTTAATTTAAAAAAAATCTAGGGAAGGAGGATACCCTGAAACATGTTTACTGGCTTCTATCTGTAGCTGTGGCAATGTTGGCTTCAAAATCAAAGTGGGCCCAAATTATAGGCACACTTCCTCTCAGGTGTTAACTTTTCATGGCGTTTTGTTTCTGTTCCACTTTGTTCTCTTTGCCCATTTTTAAAAATTGTTGTCCTTTTCAAATAGGCCCCCTACTGATTATAGCTAACTGAAGTCAAATCATGCTCTGTAAAAGGCTTTTTATGCTCTGTAAAAGGCTTAAAGGACAGAGAGAGACTACAGCTGAAAGATAAACAATTCACAATTTTCATATCAGTGAGAAACAGGCAAATGCACAGACAGACCCCGCAGGGGTTTGGGACGCTGCCTTTTGCACTCAGATTGTACCAGTGCCTATTGTATGGCATATATTATATAGCTAGTGGGGCGGCTTGGGTTCCACAAGCTTTATTGCTTTGGTGCACTTCTGCCTGCATTCTTCTCAGCCAGCTCTGACCTGTCATACATGCATCACCAGAGCATTGGAACCCCCATCTATAAACTCCCAATAATGTCTCTTTAAGCATCACATTCCATATAGGGCTTATTTTAAACAACAACCAAACATAATGTCAGCAGAGAGCGGGCGCTAATAACTTACTATACCAAGTTATTTGTTAACAGTTATAACTCAAGCAGCGCCAGCTCTGCCTACATAGTGACAGCAGTTGTTTAGTGCTCTGTGTCCACCAGGGGGCCCCCTAACAGCTTCTCGGTTTTTACTGTACCATTTTGTTGTCTAAGGTAGGCAAGTAGAAGGAAAAACCAACCAGTTAGTCATGTCTTAAAAGACTGTACATGTAAAAGAAAGAGAGAAAATGAGGAGAAAGAGCTAAAGACATTATTTGTGTGGTGTTAATATTATGCAGTTTGTTTTGTAGTGGATCTGGGGTCAGGCTTTCTGACCGAGTTTCAACATGCCGCATGACAGCGGTTAACAACTTTCTCTGTTAATCCAGGTTTAGATACTCAGGCTGTGATTAATTCTCGTGCGCATGCTAATGAAAATGTTCTGTTTATGACAAACAGCCAATCACGTGAAACATGAGGAGGAGTCGCCAAAGAGGAAAAAAGAAAAGAAACTACAAAAATATGTAAAAAGTAAAGCATTTATAATGGTAAAAAAGCAAAGCTGTCACCACTTCCACCAGGGTTAGACTGAACTAAGCTTAAAGTTAGCTGGGTAAGCAAGAAAATACTGCGTTATGAGACAGAACCCAGGCCTCAGCATCCAATCATCAGCAATGCACAAATTAGCCACTTATAAATGTATAATGCTTGTGGTAGCCATTGTTAGTATCTCCAGTAGTTAGACAGTGTAGTGATTAATGCCATAGTCCTGTATGGTGGGCACTAGGGTTCAATTTGCCCAAGCAAAAATGCTAACATTTTGGGCTGCTAAGGAAAGACTCCTTACACTACGTTCATTTTCCTTCGAAAAAATAATTCTTCAGTCATATGCTGTAAATCAAATTCAGTTTCATTCATGTTGCCATCTTTTCCTGTGAGACCCCCCCCACCTTCCCCTCTAAAATGTCTATGCCGGGGCCTGGTGAAGAGTATGATTATCTAGACCTGAGTGGTGACACTTCAGTTCAGCTGGCCTACCCAGAGATCCAAGGCTGTCGGAGATGGAGACGCTGTCACTGAGACACAGCTGGCTTTCCTCCAGAGAAAATGTGTCGAAGTGCAGGTGCACGCGCTTTCCTGCAGGTACGATGATGTTCCACTGGCAGCGGGCGCCGTTCTCATAGCCCTGAGGGTGATTCATAGACGACAAAACACCTTCAGTACCAGTCTGCTCCTTCAGCCCACCACAGCCCGAACCTGGAAAACAGTGAGAGAGAGTGAGAGAAAGAGAGGAGTGACTATTTATAATGTAATCCTATTTTTGTTTAATAAATGGAATAAATAGAATTGGCGACACTAAAAACAATGGGGTAAATAGAAAGTAGAAGAAGCAGTAGAATAACAGAATATTAATATGGCACAAAATGTACTTGATTCAAATGTGTACAACACTTCCCCATGAATAAAATATATTACATTAACTCAATTTAGGACTTAGACAAAAAAAAAAAAGACTGTGGTGATGTGGTAGCATCTCCAAAATAGTAACATTACAGAAGGCAAAATGTTCTTTACTTTTGATGTAAGTTAATGTAGAGATATTTTATTAAATTCATTGCTTTTTTCATGGTAATATATTTTAATTTCTATGTTTTATGTGGAGCATTCCTTCGAATTAGTTCAAACATCAAAAAACAAAATGTTTACAACGATGTTAGATATTTACAAGGATTATGTTATGATGTATTCAAACCCAAGGCATTAATTGAGATAGAAGTAAGCTAAAAATATACAAAATCATCATTTATAATTTTTATAATTAAAATGTTTTTTTTGGGACTATTCGGAGTTGGCCTTCCGCCCAATGGCAGCTGGGATAGGCTCCAGCACCCCACCGCGACCCAGAAGGATAAGCGGTTTAGATGATGTATGTGTGTATGTGTGTATGTATGTATGTATTCGGAGTTGGTTTTCAAAATCCTAATCCTTAAATTTCAACCTAATTTCAAGATCTTTTTGAACTTTATTCAAAAAATATTGCGCCATGTTTTCATGTCACCACCGAAACACGGAGATTTTTAGTGTATAGACATAAGCGGAGGCTTATTTTAGCCACACCCCTGCATTTTAGAGACTGTATCCCTGTTCCTCAGGGCTGCATGGTGAGCAGTTTGATCCCATTGTTTTGCACATGCATCTCAAGTCTGAAAATCAGCGTGTAACTGTCCCTACCGAAACACATATTTTCTGCACTTTTTTGATTTTTAATGAAAAACACTAGGATTGTTTGTGTGTCTTGGTTAGTGTTTTTGAATTACTTCCGAAATTAGCTAAAATTGTCACAACCAAAACAGTCAGCACCGAAACATTTGGTACAGTTTCGGCAGTGTTATAACTGTTTTGGTAGAGACAAAATGGAATGGTCAGTCATTAGTTCGAATAAAATAAACATAATTAAGGTATAGGGTCACTCAAAGCAAGAGGCTTTTAGTCTTTTGTTTAGGTTTAAGTCCAAGTTCTTTTAACTGACCAGTTCAGTAGAATGACCTATGTACTTTCATTGGTGTTAACATACTGATGCCTTCATAGATGTCCTTGCGCATGATATTCTCTATCCAGGGCAGGTAGGCAGATGTGCGGGTGAACACACTGGGCTTCTTGTTCATGATACAGCCGATGGGCCCAAAGCTTGTAATGCCGTGCACCTCCCAGGGATCCGAGGGGCCGTCCTGACACACGAGGGGCCCACCTGAGTCCCCCTGTCCCACAAAGAAAATGAGCAAACGGAGCATAATCACCTACAGTGTTCACCTGGCCTCTAGAGTACAATCTGTAGCTACACTAGTCCTCAGTGTGCTCTGTAGGTGTTAATTAAAACAAGAATGCACACATATGATGGTCTTATTAGCATAACATTATCACTGGGGAAAGCCTGAAGGGATGCTTTTTGCTGTTGGTGTTCTCTAAAAACAGATGTGCTGTGTCCTTAACTAGACATCTGTTACTTTTAATGCAAAATATATTTAAAAAGATAACAATATGGCACAAAAATGTGTTAAACCAGATAACAAAAATGTCTGTTAAGACATTTTAGAGAGTGTAGGCAAGTTGGAAAATAGAAAAGAGACATTTTCAGTACTACATTTTTAAGCATATAGGGTTTGTAACATATCTTTTGCTGCATGAATTATAAAATACACATAAAAATATTTTAAATGTTTTTTTCTTATTAAAAATGGCACAATTAATAGAAATATTTGGGTGGTACATTGCATTTTGTTGCTATATGGCAACAGCATCTAACAATGGACCTGTCACATGTGATGCATAAAATGTGAGTAAACCAAACCAGTCCATATGACTCAGTCCATATGACTCATTTAGACAACTTAGACAAATTTGCATAAATATTTTAAAAATACAGAAGGGAGAATGAAAATAATTATATTGATAAAAAACATCAACTTGACATATATTCATGTACCACCATTGTATGCACTGCAGATCGCAGTTCCATTGTCGCACACTCTTGCCATATGGCAACAATTATTTTTTATTATTTTATATGAAAGCTATAAAATCTAAACTGGAAAAAGTGTAGCCTTATATTTCAGTCAGGCAGAAAGTGAATTAAAAAATGGGAGTTTACATTGCAACCATGTAAAAAAGTCACTGTTGCCATATGGCAACGGCATGCAGTAAAGAGTTAAGCTGTCATACACACCTGACACACAGACTTGAGCTCATCAGGTAAATTGTATCCAGCACAGATCATAGAGGATTTGACCTGGAACCACCAGTAGTCCATGCGCTTGCAGGTGTCATAAGGTACGACAGGAAGAGCCACCTGGTTTAGAGTCTCAGACGCTTTTGGAGCTAAGAAGTTCCCTGATGAGAAAATATCCAGTTTTAGGAGACACTTTTGCACTCATACAGTATTACATTTAATTACATTTAAGCTTTATTTAGAAGGTCAGTTAGTATCCTGAAGCACTTTTAAGCAGTTATTTTTTAGAGTAGTTTCTATATTATCTTTGGATTGTCTTTGTCTGCGTTTGTATTTTGTCTTTGGTATGCTTTATGTTTGTTCTAATATTGGTTATATTGGTTATAGGTGTAATATGGCCTATATTTTTTGGCTGTTAGCTCATAACATTAGACCTTAGGGACAACAATTGAAAAGTAGACTGTTATAGTTGTGAAAAATTTGGGCACCCCTGGTCAGATGACATGGTTTGTTGATTTTTACACACATTTTAACACATTTAGCACATTTTAATGCACAATAACAGTTTATTTACTGAATTTAGCATATTGAAAAAAAGACATTTGGCTTGTACAAAAGTTGTGGCAAAATAAGTTTTTTTATGATAAAAAGTACATTTAATTCACAGAAAAATTGTGTGTTTAATGTAGAGGATGTGTTACATTATTTTCACTCAGAAAATCAAGAAATCATGTCATTTGACCAGGGGTGTTCAAACTTTTGCATACAACTGTATCTAAAATAGCACATTTATCTTTGGGTTAACTTATATGTATTTTTCCTGATATAAATGAATAATAAATATAAATAATTAAATATCAGGTGAATAGCAATCAATACTACTACCTTTTTGCTTATGGTATACAGCATTAGTTGGAAATGAACCAGTTAGCTATCAATGGTACTTTTGTCTTTGGGTTAAAGAATGTGCATTAAATTAATGAACAAACAAACATACAAACAAACAAACAAACAAACAAATAAATAAATAAATAAATAAAAGCTGCATAGCATACCACTACTAGCAGCTGCTTTAACATCCATTACCCAACAGATGGCACTGTAACTCTTTAAGGAGAAGAGCAAATTAAGGGAAAAATGCTCTGCTCTCTTGCCCAATTCGATTGGCCACTGATGAATAGCCTGCAGAGATATATAAATGTCAATTTTATTCAAATCTGTGCTGATGCAGGGAGACCCAGCTGGGACTGAAGCCTCATTTGCAGCGAGGTGGTCATAACACTGGGTTACCATTAGCATAGTGCTTAAACTTAAATTTAGCATTTTCTCATGCCTGTTAAAGAGCTGATTAGTTTTATTTGGTGGGGTAGAGCCAGGGGTGCTTTAACCTGCTCAGGGGCCCTTGGGCTACATGTGGTCCTAGGCCCTATAGGCATAGTTACACACAGCGTCCAAACACTCAAACCCTTGTTTTTAATGAATGTGCACACACCGCCACCGACCTCCAGTACTACCATTCATCATCTTTCCATTACTGCACGAACCTAAATGAAGCTAAAGTTAGCATCTTATCCACCAGGATCTTATCCCAGGTCTCTGTTGCACCTCAAAAGGTGCCACAGTTGCGTTCTGACACCTGCAACTGCTTCACCACTTAAGGTGGAATGGAAAATCTGAAGAATAAGCTGGCGAACAGAAAGCCAGTTTCAGCCTCACCAAACTTAAACCTAGAACCAAACCACTAAAAGCCAATCGGTCAAGGTTTGAAATTTGTACTAAACTTTAGATGAACTTCAACTTGAGCTTAAATGTGCAAGCTGCTCTCTGTTCAATCTGTTGTGCAATGATTCTCCAGTGGTGCATGGGAGCCTACAGTTTACTCTGTAAAACCACTAACATCACCAAAACACCCGAGGGCTACAACAAGCTGTAGTCTATTGTCTGATTCAGTGGTGCAGGAAGAAGTAAACGTATGGACCCAAAGAAGATGACGTGAGATAAAATCAGACACATTAGATGAGCAAAGATGAACAACAGCAACACAAAAAACTTAAAATAAGTTAATAATTTAATAAACCTTATCATCATAGGTAAAGTATACTGTACGGCGGGCATGAAAAATGTTAGTGGTCCATTCTTGTCCTACCTTTGATGCGCTGAAGTAATGTTAGATGTTTGCACTGACATTTTCACCAACCCCATTTCAGCCACTGTACTAAAAGAGCATTGCAAATACCACAATAACAGAAAACCGACGATGATAGTGGTATAAAACGACACAATCTATGGGACGTAATCTCTTGTTTAACTGTCCACAGTTACATCTTTTAACCGAAGCTGGAGCTTCCAATTCGAATACTGGCATGCTGATAACGAACTTAGCTTGAGGCGTTGGTGGATGGCAATGGTTGCTGTGCAATGATTGGCAGACTTAAAAAAGGTTCAATTTGGTGGAGAGGGTAATTATTTGATTAGCTCTAATAAAGTGACAGCACTCAGAGAAAATGAATCAAATTTCATTATCAGAGGCTCTGAGTTACTCAGGGCCCCTGGGCTTCAGTCCACATAACCCCTGTGTATTAAATCACCCTTGGTTAGAGCACACCAAATCATGCAGCATAGGGCTACTCCAAAGCCAAAGTTAGGAGTGCATTGACATAGCATAGATCTGATCATATTCACTCTCCAGAAATAGTAAACTACAGTATGTAGTGTGTTAGTGCTGTTTGAATTCTCAGTGATAAATATTTTGGCCATTTCATGGTCGTTTCCTAGTCAGGTCACTACAGAGCAAACACTAGTGGTAAACAGAGAATGAGTTGAGCCATTTAATGGCCAGGGCCAACAGGCAGCCCCAAAGTTTTATTACGCACTTCTATAACGTAAGAATAGCTCAGCCTGTTTGCACTGAAGTCCCTGTAGCTACTGAATAATAAGCCTTAGTATGTAATAATCCTGGAATTTTAAGGGGTAACGAGTGAACCACAGAGAATACAGCACTGTCATCTACACCTGTCTCGTCTCCCCAGCCTGTAGCATAGCATGTTTTTCCTCCTGGAAGCACCTCCTCGATGGGCGGCAGGCAGGCAAAGTGGACGTGGTCAGACAGGGTCACCTCTCCATCCAGGCGCACCAGGGCGATGTCAAACTCCACGGTGGGACTGGTGGGGTAGTTAAAGCCCTCATGGCGGTAAATGCCCTGAACACCAAAGCACTGCTGTCCAGGCTCTGACAGGGTCAGGTTGTGTTTGCCTAGACACATCTGCCATCTCTGCAGTTGATCTGCGTACCTGAGGAAAGGTGTGGCACACAATCAACACACGACAAATGAACACACAAATGAACACAAACACACACATACACAACAAATATATGGGTCATTCTAGAGAAGTGATTCAAAACACTCCTCTCCCTAACAAACATATCTTTAAAAGTGCTTATTCAAAATTAATTCAAAAAGATTTACATACATCATGTTTAAAGGGGACCTATTTGCTCATTTTGCTCAGAATGTATTTCTGGAATCTAGAATAGATTTACAAGCTTCAATGATCCCAAAACATTATTTTTCACAGACTGTACATCTTTATTCACTCTCTGTCTAAAACGCTCTGTTAGAGCTCCTGGGTCTATAAGCCCCTCTCCCGATGAGCCCAGTGTGCTCCTGTTGGTCAGCTTGCTCACTCTGTTCTAATTGGTCAACTGGTACAATACAATGAACAATTGAACAATTTCCAATTATTTAAACAATGAACAATTTAAAATAATTACTTAATTCCTGATTTTTGCAGACAATTTCTGTTCATTTGCTTCAGTTTAACCCCTTAAATGGCTGGTTGGCCCAAAGTTTTATCACACATGTCTATTATCTAAGAATAGCTTTAGCCAGTTTGCTGACCAAGTCCATGTAGCTCCTGAGTAATAAGCCTTAATATATACATAAAAAAAGAGATTTTAAGGAGCTAACATTGGGAAAAAAATAAAATTATAAAAGGTGCCATAACCTTTGCACAGACCACATTTTATGTTTTTTTTTTCCACAATAAATAAATTCAGCTAATAAACAGTAGCTGATAAGTAGAAGTGGGTTCTCTGTAGAAGATGTGTAACTTAACCATGTCATTTCACCAGGGGTGCGCAAACTTTTGCACACAACTGCATATGAGTGCGGTATCTGTGTTTACTTTTATATGTGCCTTTTTTGTGTGATTGTGTGCACATGAACTTGTCTGCATATGCAATTTCAATGCGCATGTGGTATACATGGTCGAATGCAAAAGTTTGGGCACCCTTGATAAAATTAACTGAACAGATGCATTAAAGAACCTGCACACGTTAATAATGATACTGAGGTCTGTTTAAAGCTCACATGAGCTAATAACATGATAAAAGCCATGCAGTCAGTGATAACAGGAGATATGGGATATGCTGTAACATGGATAAGAGATTTAATCAGAAATAATAGCCTATGGAGCAATATAAGTAAAAGAGGACTTTGGCTGTACCTGATGAAGCAATGAGCAGCTGTCATTACCCAGTGCTTATGGATTAGCGTCCCACCACACGTGTGGGCGAACATGGGGGTCGGCTGGGACTCGGGCCAAACCTTAGAACGAACGCACAGTGAAAGAACACACAGATAACACTGCTGAGATATAACCATTGAGGTTACGGTAGCACAGCTCTCCTCATAAACTAATAGCAGCTCGGGGACACTATTAAGAGAGGCTGAATCGACTGAATGATTGGTTACAGTCGTTAAGGTGTTGTCACAGCATTAGTGTTTGTTAATTTATAGTGAAACAGAAGAGGAAAGGACAGGAGAGGTGCTGGGAATGATGCTGGTCATAGAATAATGTATACATTCCTTATGGAATGATGATTTAATAAGTGTAACATGTGCTGCAGAGAATGAGTGATTAGGACTAGGTTAGTATACAGAGACTACGCAGCGACATGCTGTTGGGTAATCATTCATTTTTAACTGTGGCGCTGTGATGTATAATATAGCTACTCTCAGGAGAAAACCTCCTGTCACCCTTTCTGACAGGCTTGAGGTTTTTTTGTTACACACATTTAAAACTGTCTTATTTATGCCGTGTAGGCATTTTTATAGCTCACTCTATAGGGAAAAAAAAGAAAAATCAACTCTCAACAAGCACCACAATGTGTGGAGAATATATCAGTTGCTCCTCTGCTGGGAAACTGCCAACTTGGAAGGATTTCTTAAGACACTGATGATATATTGAAGCTGAGGTGGTGCTAAACTAGCCGCCTAATCATTTTCTAATCGAGGTTTGCTGATCAGTGCGATTTGTCACATACAATTTATTACCAATCACTCCAGCGTATCTAAATAAACGCTCCATCGCTGCTCGATATCACAGTATCTCAGATAAACATTAGCATGAGTGCTGAGATGAGCAGAGGAAGTGTGAGGTGTAACTGGGCAGGAGGTGATGGATTTCGGCCATACCTGCATGGACACTTGCCAGGGCCAGGAGTGAGCTTTGGCAGCCTCGCCATTCACTATGCGAGCGTTGACCATGGGGGGAATCGCAGGCCTTCCGCAAGTCTCTGGCCATTCTGCAGGAGAACAGCAGACACAGAATTAAGGTCAAAGAGCAGATTCATGGGCTGAGCTTCTGCCACAGCTTTACAGAGTATGTTACCTTTAACCCTTTCATGTCCGTGCTGGAATTTTTACGTTTACTACAGTGGTTCTTAGAGTTCCACTGAGCATAAACGAAATCAAAACTGATCAAAGCGTTTGGCTACACTGTCTGATTTCTATTATATTTATTGTACTTGTTTTAGTCTTTGGGCATAAATGAATTGACTATATTTCTTCATATTTAAGCAATAGAACATGAGAGGAAGTGTGTTATCACAAAATAGCATCTCAGCTGTGATTTGGTCGCAGGCACGAGCCGAAGGTTATTCGTGATAACACACGACCTCGAGTGTTCTATTGATTTTATTCAACAGTTAAATAAATAAAGTAAGAAATAAATAAATTGGGCCGTGATTGTGTCATTTAATATGTTTTAATGTTAGCAGTTCCTTCCGCCAAATTATAGTTCATTAACAAGCAGCTTGTTGCTACGTCAGAGTAACGAACTCCGCTCACTCGCTGAACAGTCTGCTGTAAGCCTCGCCTTTTGAGGTACGGACTGAGCCATAAAACTGCCGCAATATCAAGTTTAGCTCAGTGTTGTCAATTTTTGCCAGATCAATATTAATGTTGTTTTGTTCCAGCTAGTCTGTAAAGCGTCTTACAGCCCATTTGGTTTGCCGAATGGTATTCGGTTCATTTCTACTTTCAGGCTGTTTAGGTGTTCTTTTGTCACAGCCGCAGACTGAAAAGCTGCTCAGTGGTGATGACAGTTTGGGAATTTAGTGTAGTCTCATCTTCAGAGTCTCACCAAATTGGCTGTCGGTCAAATGTGATCTTAAAAGTATCCATTTTCTTTTCTGCACAAAGTAAGAAGTAAAAACACTCAAATGGCTTAAGCATCTCCTACAGCTGTCAAAGTTGTTGCTTAGCAACAGTGTCTCAGCGGAGTGATACAGTGTTTGTGAGAAGAACGTGATGTTATGGCAAAATAACAGCACGGTTAGAGCGCTTCTTAACCAATCAGCTTGCATGGCCGTAACTAACTGTTGTATAATTATCTATATAGCATGCAAATGAATGAAACAATGCTACAATTACATTATAAAATAAACACTAACATAGATCTAATAGACTGGGCAGTCATAAGCCTAAAACAAACATGATGACCCCCAAGGAAGAGGTGGTACCAGCAAGCATTCTGGAGTACATGCAGTGCTCTTTGTTGGCTTACAACGCAGCTTGGTGGGAGCGAGAGAGCTGAGCTCCTCTTGCTGAGCATAACAATCTCACATGAATGTCACATACATGGCACATTAACAATTAACTACAACAGCTCACTGGATAGATAGCTAAAAAAAACATACACAGTGTAGACCATAATGATAGCACAGAACAGACAGAGCTGTTTCCAGCACACAACAGGGCCACGCACAGGATTATGGGTATGCAAATGAGCCAGCACAGCACACACAAAACCTCAAGGTTGCCACATATATTTCAACCCAGATTTAAAGCATCAATTAAGCTTGCATTCCTAATATTCTCTAGCGCATTATTCCATAGTTTAAGATCTTCCAGAGCAGGACTCAGGACTTTATCATGGATTAAACTGCAGCATTAATGGTGAATCACTACTGGAAATTCTTTTTAGTCTAAGACATGGCTCAATCCGTGTCTGGAAAACTGGCCCTTTAAGTGTCATTAACAAGACCTTGTAGTCAATACAGATCTCACAGTCCATTTGCACTTGCAGGTCTGTCCAAAAAGAGAGAGTTTATTTCATTTCCAGTCACGATTATTAAGTACTTATTATTTTTTAGTTAATAGGTTATTATTTTTTAGATGTAAGACATTCCACTTGAAAATAAGTGCAAAAACAGAAGTTTCCAAAGGATGAGTAGCTGTCAAGGAGCCATTAATGAGAAAGGAAATAGACAAAAAAGAAGAAATTTTGCAAATCAAGCAAAGAAAAAGCTGGTGGTCTCAGACCAATGAACTGACCACCCCAGAGTCCAGATCTCAACATCATTTGCAAGAAGAAAATGCAACCAACTTCTGAGACTGAACTTCTGAGGTGTGGAAAAAAATACTGCAGATTTCTTTGAAAAGCTCAAATCATGTAATAAAGGCAAAAGGGTGGACACACTAAATACTGACCACTGCTATTATACTTGATTAGGAGAGGAGAACATACAGCTTAGAGATAAGGTTGACTCTGCCCATGCTCTGTTGTTATGTGACTGAACAAGGAAATGAGGTCAGGTCTATTAGATAAAATAATGTAAACCTTAGTAAAACACTGTTTATTGAGTGTCTTCACCAGGACCTACAGCACTAAACACACTCACACTGCAACCTCTCTCTCTCTCTCTCTCTCTCTCTCTCTCTTTCTCTGGACTGCAGGATGCATTCAGTGTGTCCTGCAGTGTTCACCTTCGGAGCACACGCGCGCACGCACACACTCAGATAGCCGCTAAGGCCACCTGAGACCAAGCACAGCACAAGGCCTTCTCACAAGCTCAAAGTCACCATCACAGCAAAACGGCAGCCATATTCCCACAGGCTTCCAAAGAACACTGCACGTCCTCAGCGGAAGAGTCTCACTTCACTGCATCACTGCTGCTGGACACATGCCTTCTGCTCTTATCTGTTTGTTGTTTTGGTTTGTTCTGAGGTCTTGACTGCACATTTTACATTCTTCTAATCAAAATTTCCCTCAAATCAACATGGAAAAGCATCCTATGGTTGGAATACATAAGGAGCCCAGACCTACAGTATATGTTTATGATACTCTACAGTATTTGGACAGTGATGTTTTTCTTGTTTTGGCTTTATATGTCAGTACATTACATTTGATATACCACTATGATGATGAAAGAGCAAAATGTCAGCTGTAATTCCACAGTGTTTACATCTGTATTGGGTGAATCATATAGAAACCACACTCTGGTCACTGTGGTTGTCTGTGGTCCTGCCAGCTTGTTTGCCACTGTTAACCTCACCCGTGTGAACTTTCTTCCTTGTACCACACAGGTGATTTCTACACACCTTATGTTGTCTCTTTATTTATTGTGGTTTTCAGCCTCTTTTTGGTGATGGTCTGCTTTGGTACCATGAACACTTCATTTATTGACAGACAACAGCAATAGACCCCAGACTGAAATGCCAAATCTGGAATAAATGTCAGGTATAGGCGTAATTTATGATGAGGACACAGGGGACCACCACCTTTTTAAACATTCGGTTTTAACCCCACCACTATCAAAGGGTGACTTGCTTTCAGTTTTACAAAGAAATCTGCAGGTATATTTTTCCACATCTACAAAGTTCAGTCTTAGGAGTTGGTTGCACAAAAAAATTGACAATACAGTTGTTGTGTGTGCTGAGATACTCACATATTCTTACTATAACAGGTTATTAAGACAAATATAACAATTAAATATTACTGGTTCTTATGCATTTTTGAGAATGGCCTTAAATAATTGTTAAATAATTTGATGAACTGCTTTATATACTGAGTTTACAAGAGCTGTTTAATAGCACTATACTTACAGTATATGATACACATTCTAAGGATCCAGATAACCAATCTAAGTGAAATCAGCTACTTTATTTGCCGAATGTAATCAAATCCTCACAGCTAGTGTGAAGCCTTCCCAGAAGAGTAGAGCTCTTCTGCGCATGAACTAATGACACGCTGTTAAACAACTAACATAGAAACAATTAAGCGGCAGTTAATCTAAATACTTATGCTGCCCTAATATTTGGTCATTATGTATGAAAAGGGCTGTTTGCATATAAATACCCTCAAATTAAAACTGACATTCTTTAATTTGTCACAGCTTACCTGCACAACAATAAACCATAAATAACAAACTGACCATGCCTAATAAGCATTAATGTGGATTAAAAGGTTATCAGTTCTACCTATGGGGAGATCATCCCAGGGGTTTGGTGGTACAGGCGGTTCAGTTGGAGCGGGCAGTGTCGGATCTGTGGTCCAAAACGCTCTGAATCCCTTCGCTTCCGTGAAGAAGTCAGCATAGAAATGCATCACCAGCTCATTCCCTGTTGTATGGATCACTGGGGGGATACTGGTACCACAGTAAGGCCCTGTAGTGTGGTCAACACACACATCTGTGAACCTTTACAGTATATTTTTAACATCATTTAACACTCATTTACCTACGGTAGAAGCCAAATTAGACAGTCACAGTGCAATGAATATTAAAATGTACATGTAATATATGTACATATTTCATCTAATACTTGCTTATATAAGGCATTTTTTTACTCCTTACTATGAGTGATATGAGGATTTTTTTCTTTAAACATGCCAAGTATGTGGACAGCCCTCCCAGTTGTTGAGTTCAGGTGTTTCAGCCACATTCATTGCTAACAGGTTTATAAAATCAAGCGCATAGCCATGCAGTCTCTGTACACTGGCAGTAGAATGGGTCGTACTGAAGAGCTCAGTAACTGTAAGTCATAGGATACCACCTTTGCCACAAGTCAATTTGTGAATGTTCTGCCGTGCTAGATCTGCCCCAGCCAACTGTAAGTGCTATTATTGTGAAATGGAATTGTCTAGGAGCAACAACAACTCAGGAGCAAAGCGGTAGCCAAGGCAAATTCATAGAGTGGGGCTGCTGAGTACTGTGTTGTATGTCGGGACCAAGGGCTATTCCCTTCAACCCCAGGCCTCCAACATAATATTATGAATGAAAAAGAAATGGCTAAACACTGACACCAATAACTGTTCTAAGTCTAAGTTCTCAAGAGATGTCAAAAAAGAAAGAGTCTTCAGACGCTAAGTTTGTGGAGAGAGGGAAAAAGCATCAGGTGGCACAGGGTCTCGAGAGACCCAACTGTGCAAACAGTGTTCCAAACAACAGTTTATATACCATTTATCTGGGTAATTTGATATCCCCCCCACCTTACTTCTCAAATTTTGATTTTACCTTATTCTCTAATAGGTGCATCTCTTTGTCCATCAACTTGGTCATCGCATGCTGAGCTCACTCCTAAAAACTGGTTTCAAATGGTTTTTACCAGTCTGCTTCACCTTTCAAGGTCAACTTGTACCTCTCTTCACTGGGTCAGTAAGTATACAAAGGCCTGTCTGTGAACCCAGGGGCTTTCCAGTGTCTAGAATTTCCTATGCAGACAGAAGGCTAAGACTAAGGCCTGCCTTAGAATTAATAGTGAATTAATATTCTCTGTTAGCCAATACTACCTATTTGTTTATTGATTACAATATCTAATCTATTTGGTTACTGATTAAGGGAATATTTATTCAAAATCTCTGTCAAGTACATAAAAATCACTTGTCTTCTGTTGCATCGCTTACTACAGTTTTCCAAACTACCTCTGGATGCAACATCAGCACAAGAGGAAGTCAAGAGCTTCATTAAATGGGTTTTCATGGCTGAGCAGCTGCACACAACCCTAAGATCAGTACGCACAATGGCAAGCTTTGGCTGGAGTGGTGTAAAGCAATGGAAGAACACAGTGGTACTATGTTCTCGTTCTCTGGAGTGATGAATCTTGCTTCACTATCTGGCAATCTGATTGACAAATCTAGGTTTGGTGGATGCCAGGAGAACACTACCTATCACAAGGCACAGGGCCAATAGTAACGTTTGGAGGAGGAAGGATAATGGTCTGGAGCAGGGTTTAGGCCCCTTAGTTCCAGGGAAGGATAATGTTAATGTTGCAGCATACAAAGACTAACTACCTTTGTGGCAACAATTTGGGAAAGACCCTTGTCCTGTTTCAGCATGACCGTGCCCCTGTGCACAAAGTAAGGTGCATAAAGACATGATTTGATGACTTTGATGTGGAGGAACTACAGTGGTCTGCACAGAGCCCAGACCTCAACTTCACAGAACACTTTTGGAAGGTTGATTGCGAGCCAACTAACATCAGTGCCTGACCTCACCAACACATTTGACCGAATGGGCACAAATTCTCACAGACACACTCCAAACATCAGTTGGAAAGCATTCCCAGCAGAGTGGAGGCTGTTACAACTGCAAAGAGGTGGGATTGCCCATAGATTTGGGATGGGATGCCCAACAAGCTCATTTAAGTGTGATGTCCACATACTTTTGGCCATATTATATAAAAAACACTGCAAAAATATTTTAAGTTAAACAACATATACATACATTTTTAAGTTGAATAAAAAATAAAAAGCTTTCATTATTCATTAGCACATTAGCAACATTTTGAGCGAATTATATAAAACGTATACAATATTTAACGCAGTATTCTGATATATTGGAAACTTCAAAAACAGGCATTATGAAGTTGAGAAATCCTTGCTGACCGTATTTCTTGGCCGTGGGCTGTGATCCATCATAAATGACCACGTTGTCAAAGCAGCGGCCTAACAGGATGCCAGCCGCCTCCATGTCAAACTGGGTGAACGTCAGCGTGATGGTTTTGCCCTCGGGCACCTGCACCTTCCACAGGCACTCTCTGTTGGGAGGGTAGTTCATGGGCCAGTTTTCTGACTTGATGACTCCCATCTCCTCGTAAGAGAAGCCTCCACAGCCTTGGATTTCTAGGGGAGTAGAGAGGAGGGATTATGGTGGGGGCTTAATGCTGCCCAGCACAAAGTGTGGAATAAAACACACTAACTGATTAAGACCTCATAGGAACACAGGGCCAAAGAACTGGACATGGCTCAATGGAAACTAGTCCAATCAGAAGTTTTTGAATGGTACAGCTTGCACACATTGGTCACTCATACACATACAGCGATTGCTCTGTGAAACAGTACCAAGGGCTTTATACCAGAAACTGTCACTGCTTGTACAGACATCCTTTCCCCAAATGGACACAGAGTCACATCAGTTATTACATTAGTTATATTATTATATATTATTAGTTATTATAAACTACACTATGAAAGTTTTGGGGATTTAGAGATCTCTCTGGTGGAAATGTGTTCCATGGAACCCGCAGAAGAACATTTTGTAACGTGGGTTGTGCCTTGAACCCCTTCCCTGAGCAGATGTATCGTTTGAGATTTTTCAACATGACATTTATACATAATCTAATAAAAACATTTTAATTACATTTTATACATTTAATCTAATAAAAAAAAAAAGAAAAAGAGGGGCCAGTCATGGGCTGGAGGCTAGGGAACCAGCCTTGTGACCAGAAGGTTGTCGGTTCGATCCCCTAAGCTGTCAGTTCATGACTGAAGTGCTCTTGAGCAAGGCGCCTAACCCCCAAGTGCTCTCTGGGTGCCATGAATAAGGCTGCCCACCGCTCCAGGCAAGTGTGCTCACTGCCCCCTAGTGTGTGTGTGTTCACTAGTGTGTATGTGGTGTTTCACTGCATGGATGGGTAAAATGCGAAGGTGAAATTTCTTCATTATGGGACTAATAAGGGTCACTTAATTAATCTTAATCTTAAAGGCATATGGCGTGATCTGAAAAACTCCTGCCAAATCCTAACCCAACCCGCTGACTTTTAAATTATTATTTCAGGCTTTACAGGGCGAAAGTTTTTTTTTCTTCAAACAAAAAAAGTAATGCTGCTTCTTTTAGTTTTAGCCAAAAAATCTTACATAGTGTAGCTTTGATAAAAAGATAATTTGCAAGTAAGCATGTTAGATTTGTTTACACTCTGCAGTGCACTGGTTTTCTGATTGGGCAGCTTAGCGCTAACAAACTACTAGAATCCTATAGGCAAGTTAGCAGAAGTTAGCATTATCACTGAGGTGGGTTTTTCCTTATGCTATGGCCCAAATTGAGGGCCTAGCTCTAAAAGGTCCAGTTTTAGAGCAATTCAAAAATAAAATAGACAACATACGCCTCCGATATCTTATGCTTTATATGTCAACATTAGAACACAAAAAACAAATAATAGGAACATCATACATACTCAGTATAGAGATTTAGTTTTGTTGCCAATTATAATGGCATTTTTGTCTTTCCTTTGTGTCGCTAGAATTCTTAGTCTTAATCTAAATTATAAATATTTTAGTCAAATACCTGATAATGACAATAATTATGATTAAAAAGGAAGACATGCTAATATCTGTTGGCAGAATCAACAGATGATCATAGCACAGTAAAGAAGTGTTAAAAATGATTCTTACTTCTTGTCATCACTGACTATGACCAAACAAAACAACCATCTATTTTGGCAGTAAAGTTTCATTTTTAAGAGTTAAACTGTCTTTAAATGCTCTACAATAATTAATACCTGACAGTAACTATCCTTCAACCCCCAAAATATCTTGCATAATTTCAAAAAGTGGGGTGGTCCCTATAGACCCCCCCTGCCCAATGCCCCCACCACCCTGCCCAAGCCCCCTGCCCTGATTTTGCACCTGTGATACTACTCAAGTAAACCTCTGTTTCCATTCCACTAAGATCCTAATTAGTTAAACAAGCTGAGTTTGTTTCAAATGGAAGTGCAGCTTTAAGATGTCCTCCTTGTGTGACCCTAATGTTAAAATGAAAACTGCAGAGAGCATTTTTTCGTCTCACACTGGTGCAGACTTATATCTCCCAAGATACGGATCAGCTCCTGCCACGCCGAGAGGAGTTTAAGGCATCTTTGGAGGCTGTAGCAGGCAAACACGTATAATAAATCCAGCTATATTTACATTTACATTGAAATACGGCTCCCTAAACTGCCGTTTTGGCAGCGCAGGTAGAGTCTCATTTGTTAGCCCTGACACAGGAGCGGTGTGGTGCGGGGCCAGCTGAGAGCTGCAGTAAAGACTATAAAGTGAAATCTCCGCACAGCCACGGTCAGTGAGTCTATTTATTGCACAGAAGCAGTCTACCTTCATTGGCCTGTCTAGAAAACGTTTGGCAGTGAACGCAGCATACAGACACGCATATGGACAAATGAAGGAGCTGCCAAATGATATCTGCCGAAAGGTGTAAGCGTGCTGCAACTTTTGCTTTGAATGCAACACGCAAGCACACACATGGTAGAGCTCTGCATTGGCTGGTAAATGTATTACAGTTGGGGCAATTATTTTACTTATTACTCATTTCCTGATTGTTTTTCCTCCTTCCTGGAAAAGTAACCTAATTATTCAATACTTCTATGTTACTCTTTAAAACTCTGGAACTGGAAACTGGAAAAACTGGAAAAAACAAGGGATAACATAATAGTCTTTTCACTAATTTACTCTCCCTGCCTTTAACCAAGACACAGAATGTTATGCTTTATTAAAATGCTGTTTGAAAGCCAAGGAAATTTCCACTAAAACAGTTCAAGAACACACACACACACACACACACACACACACACACACACACACACACACACACCTTCTAAACTGCTTATCCTTCTGGGTCGCGGGGAGTTAAAGAACATCTACCTCAAAATAAAATGTAGTTCATGGAGCTGTATCAGAATAAAAACCTGGCCTGTTTAGGTGACTTTTGGGACCCCTCTTCCTTATAAAATCAACACTTTTCATCAAGGGTGGCTCCACACCTCCAAAAGTAGTGGGCAAAACATATTTTTGCTAATGTCATTTCATGCTAATGTCATCTTTATAAACCTATTCGGAGGTGGGTAGTAACTAGTTACATTTACCCAAGTACTGGTACTTAAGTAAAACATTGATGGTTATTTTTTACTCTCCTGAGTATTTTCAAAACGTATTACTTTTACTACAAAGTATATGAGTAAGTAAAGGATCTTTTATCTCCATTACATTTTATCCATTCATATTTAGTTACTGGTGCCTTTTTTGTGTTTAATTTCAATTATGTTTCGATGGTGGCAATATTTGTACTGCTTTGTGATTGGTTACATCTCTGACTTTGGAGCTTCTGTATTTTAAACCAAAAGAATCCCAAAAAGAGAAGAACAGACCTGCACGGTCTTCAGTTCCTATGCTGACAAACGTTGGATGTAGCAACTAAGAAGTTTGACTGCAGAAACTGAGTACTTATAAAAAAATAGATTTTCAACCTGCTTCTTTTGTACTTCTACTCAAGTTGTTTTGGAGAAGGTACTTTCACTTGTGTAATTATTTTACGCAAGTATAAATACTTTCAATTGAGTATTAATTTAGGCTCCTCTACCAACCTCTGAACCTGATCATGAACAGTGTCAGTGTTAGTTTTGATGCTGCCTTAGTAGGTTCAGCCTCAGATAGCAGTATTTGTTAACTAACATCTCTGAAGAACAGGCTGTTTTTACGCCCAGTTCATTTTCTAAAGACTGTACCAGAGTTTCTTTTTTGTTAAATTTTATCGGTTTGGTTTGGATGGTGGACTGTAAGGGCTAAAGTATGTTTAACACCTTAAATGACCATGGCCCAAAGTTTTGTTTCATGCTTCTATAACCTAAGAATAGCTCAGCTAGTTTGCACTGAAGCCCCTGTAGTCACTGAAGTCCCTGTAGTTCAGAGGCTGGTAACTTGATGATCCAGACCTGAATGTTTTCTTTTTTTGGAGCAATAGGCTCTTACTACCCAACTAAACAGCTTTTTAAATACAGTTTTCTCAGGTGCCCATAACTTTTTTACAGTGCTATATGTACACAGATCAGGCATAACATTATGACCACCTCCTTGTTTCTACATTCATTGTCCATTTTATCAGCTCCACTTACTATATAGGTGCACTTTGTAGTTCTACAATTACAGACTGTAGTCCATCTGTTTCTCTGCATACTTTGTTAGCCCCCTTTTACCCTGCTCTTCAGTGGTCAGGACCCCCATGGACCCTCACAGAGCAGGTACTATTTGGGTGGTGGATCATTCTCAGCACTGCAGTAACACTGATGTGGTGGTGGTGTGTTAGTGTGTGTTGCACTGGTCTGAGTGGAACAGACACAGCAGTGCTGCTGGATTGAGTAAGGTCAAAGATGATAGCTCATCTGCTGCTGCACAGTTTGTGTTGGTCATCCTCTAGTCCTTCATCAGCAGTCACACGACGCTGCTCACAGGATGCTGTTGGCTGAATATTTTTGGGTGGTGGACGATTCTCAGTCCAGCAGTGACACTGAGGTGTTTAAAAACTCCAGCAGCACTGCTGTGTCTGATCCACTCAGACCAGCGCAACACACACTAACACACCACCATCACATCAGTGCTGAGAATGTACCTCTATGTAATATTATATCTCATGTGTATTCTATATACTTAAGTACATATATATAATGACAACATGTCTCATGTCTATTAGATAATATGAGTACCCATATGTAAAAATAATACGTCCCATATTTATTATATTGTATTGTGTGATATATATGTATCTATATGTAATAACAATACAATCCATAATCTCTGCTTCCCTAATACACATCGACTCAGGTGCACAGCCACCAAGGACACAAATATTTCTTTATAATGCATACTCACACACACACACACGCACACACACACACACACACACACACACACACACACACACATCCACACAGGTGATGGTGTAACCATAGATTACTGACGGCTATTAGAACAGACAGCTGTCTCAGCAGGACTCACCCTTAGGTGAGTGAATGATGGAGTGTGTGTGTGTGTGTGTGTGTGTGTGAGTGAAGCAGGTGCTGTACCGGCAATGTCCTCTGGATACACAGCCTCCCACCTGGCGGAGAAGCCACGGTCAGCCAGCCGGCCGTCAGACTGGAAAGTCAGGGACATCCTGTTACTGACACTGACAAGCACTGGAGGGAGAATAAACCCGCAGTGTGTTCCTGAGAGACACACACACACACAGAGGGGTGGCATCAATCTTCAAGTAAGAAAAACAAGAACAGTGACTTTTACCTTGCTTGCTTTGTCATTAAGCTTGCACAGAGTTGACAAATAACTATATCACTGTGACTGATGTAAATGACCTATTAAAACAATACACATCTAACATGAAAAATTCAGCAGTTATTTTAACTTTATATTAAGGCATTCTTAAACTATCACGACTTATGTGGCATTTGGCACCTATTATGTGGGAGAATTGATATTCTGCAGCATATTCTATTCATACTCTACATAATCAGCACCATCTCCAACAAGAGGTTTTTGACATAATTATAGTGGGACTGTGTACCACTGGCCTACATTCTGTACTGCACCGGTGTGTCCCTCTACACCTTAATAGAGCACAGGCTTTCAGCAGCATGCAGCCAACTCGCAATACACCACACACAAGTGTTTCTATACAAAGGCAGGATGTAGGGTCATACATGTGTCCCATATGTATTATGTAGGTAAGTACCTATGTAATATGAACATCTCTCATGTGTATTACATATATGTAAGTACCAATATGTATTAATAACATGTCCCATATGTATTACACATATGCACTGAGAATATGTCCCATATGTGTTATACATATGTACATATGTGTACTTATGATATGTCTCATATGTACTATACATATATGTATTGATGATATGTCTCATATGTATTATACATATGTAAGTACATATATGTATTGATAGTATGTCCCATATGTGTTATAAATATACAGTATATGTACAGACATATGTACAACTCAACAGGATATTAACTACTTTTTCCAAAAAAAAAAATCTTGTTACTTTTTTACTGTACATTTACATTTCTTTGCATTTATTCTAATGATATATAGTGTTTATGAGTAAAAACAAACACTGCTAAGACAAATGGTTTTGAATAATGTGCTTAGCTTTGCACAGTAAGTACTGTACATAAGTACCTATATGTATTATTGATAGGTACCATATGCACCATATACACAGATCAGGCATAACATTATGATTATCCTTGTGTCTACGCTCAGTGTCCATTTTATCAGCTCCACTTACTATATAGGAGCACTTTGTAGTTCTACAATTACAGACTGTAGTCCATCTGTTTCTCTGCATACTTTGTTAGCCCCCTTTTACCCTGTTCTTCAGTGGTCAGGACCCCCATGGACCCTCACAGAGCAAGTACTATTTGGGTGGTGGATCATTCTCAGCACTGCAGTAACACTGATATGGTGGTGGTGTGTTAGTGTGTGTTGCACTGGTCTGAGTGGATCAGACACAGCAGTGCAGAGAAACAGCTGGACTACAGTCTGTAATTGTAGAACTACAAAGTGCAACTATATAGTAAGTGGAGCTGATAAAATGGACAATGAGGGTAGAAACAAGGAGGTGGTCATAATGTTATGCCTGATCGGTGTATGTTCTTGTTGTTGAATAAAACTTTGTATCTCCATTTTTTGCGAAGCTGTCCTTTACATTGCGTGAAAAAAACATAATGAATGGACCAAAAGACAAAGAAAAATATTTGGAATACTATATTTTTCCATGAACGTCCACTGTAACTTCCTCATATTATATTCCTTACATTTCCTTCTACTGTAAATGTTCTATGGAGATACAATATTTTGTTAACCTCAATCTTAACCCCATACCTAATCCCAACCCCAGGAACAAGAAAGGCATGTTTTTGTCCTTTTGGTTTAAAAATAAAAGACTTCACTTCTTTTTTTTACAGTCAGGACACTTTTTGTCCTGAAACTGTAAAACCCACACACACACACATTGCTGAGCACTCAAATTAGCACCACAAGAGATGAACTGAGGGCTGAAAGTCAGTGTGTAAGGAAGGAAGAAAGAAGATATGAGCGGTAAGGGCATCTTCATCTATTCTCACTCACACTAGTGAAGGGCAGAGAAGGATAAAGTGCTGCAGCCAATGAGGCGTACAGTGTGACGGCTGAGGACAAATAAGCTTGTTCAGTGTGTGATTTGCTCTGTTGTGAACAGACGTTTTTAACCTGCTCTGCTGCTGTAATGTGTGCTGAGGTGTCAGAGCTGCTCCACTTTGTGAGTATCTGGGACACTTGAAGTGCAAATCCTTCCTTGAAACTGAACAGCTATCACACTCGCTCTCATACTCCCTCCCACCTTTACTCTCACCCTCTCTCTCACACCCTCTCCCTCGCTTTATTCTTTCTATCTCTCTTTCCCGTCTCTCTCACCCTTTCTTCTTTCTTTCTCTCCTATTTCTCTCCTCTTTTTGTCCCCTTCTCTCTCTCTTTCTCCTTTTTCTTGCTCTCTCTGTCACTCTCTCTCTCTCTCTCTCTCTCTCTCTATTATCTGTCTTTCCCTCTGTCTCTTTCCAATGTTTTTTGTTCTTTTTTGTTCTTTCTTTCTCTCTCCTCTCTCTTGCCTTTAGTCTCTCTATCCATGTCTTTACCTCTCTTTCCCTCTGTCTCTCCTTAGCACCTTAGTTTTCTCTCCTTCTCTTTCTCTCTTGCTCACTTTCTCTCTCTTCTTCCTTCCCTCACTCTCTTTCTCCCCAGTCTCTCTTTCTTTTTCTCTTTATTCTCTCTATCTCTGTCTTTCACTGCTGCCTCTTCCTTCTTTCTGTCAAGTCTCTCTCTCTCTCTTGCTGCTCTCTCCACCTCTCTCGCTCCTCCCTTTGTCTCTTTATTCTCTCTATCTGTCTTTCACTTTGTCTCTTTCCCTCCTTCTTTCTTTCTCTCCCCTCTCTCTCTTCCCTTTCTCTCTCTCTTTTCCTTTGTTCTCTCTATCGCTGTATTTTCCTCTGTCTCTCTCCCGCCTTGGTCTTCTCTCCTCTTCCTTTCTCTCCCTCTACCCCCCCCTCTTATTTCTCTCCTTCTCTCTCTGCTTCTCCCCCTCGCTCTCCTTTCTCTGTGTCCTTCTCTCTCCTTCCCTTTCACTTCTTCTCTCATTATCTCTTGCTTTGTCTCTCCTTCACTCTCTCTGCTTCTCCTGCCTCTCTCTTCTCCCTTCCTCTCTCTTTCTCCCCCTCTCTCACATTCTCTCTCACCTCCTTCTCCCCTTGCTCTCCTTCCCTCTATCTGTCCTTCAACTCTCTCTCTCTCTCTTCCCCACTCTCTCCTTCCCTTTCCCTTCCTCTCTGTCTATCTCTCACATTCTTTCTCTCCTTCAGTCTCTCTGCATCTCTCCATCTCTCCTCCTTTCCTTTCTCTCTCTCATTTTCTCTCTCACCTCCTTGTCTCTCTGCTTCCCCCTTGCTCTTCCTTTCTCTATCTGTTCTTCACCTCTCTCTCCTTCACTTTATCTGTCCTCCCCTCTCTCTTTCTCCGCTTCTCTCCCTTTCTACTGCCCTCTTCCCCATTCTCTCCCTTCCTCTCTTTCTTTCTCTACCTCTCCTGCTCTTTCTTACCCCCCCTCCTCTATGTAAAGCTCCTCCGTCCTGCTGTGTGTTTTAGCGTTCAGTATCTGAGGTGCAGTCTGTGAGAACCGTGTGCTGATAAAACTATCGGTCGCAGTAATAAAGAGCAGTAATTTACACCTCACTAGCTCACTATAGCTCACCGCCTCTGTCACCGCCTCGAGGGAGATCACGATCAGCTACCTCTGCAGCTCCTGTCCAAACTGGCAAAAGGTGAACGTGGTGTATGCTGTACTGTGCTGTCTGCAGCGTTATTGCACCACAGCCTCAGGAGTGTCCAAATACAGAGTTTATAAGTGCCAAAGGTCTTCACTGATAGGCCACACTCCAACACTTATTAATCAGGTTGCACAATTTTCTGGCTTAAGAATACATATTAAACATGCATTCATGTATTATATACACTATATGGCCAAAAGTATGTGGACACCTGACCATCACCTATATATGACCTTGTTTGACATCCCATTCCAAAATCTCAGGCATTAACATGGAGTTGCCCCTCTTTGCGGTTATAACAGCCTCCACTCCTGTGGGAAGGCTTTCTGCAAGAATTTGGAGTTCGTCTGAGGGGCCGGTGCCCATTAAGTCAAAGGAGCATTTGTGAGGTCAGCCATCGAAGCTGAATGAGAAGGCCTGGCTCACAAAGTTCTAATTCATCCCAAAGGTACTCAGTGGGGTTGAGGTCAGGGCTCTGTGGAGCTTTTTCACACTAGTCTCATCAAACCATCGCTTTACGGAGCACGCTTTGAGCACAGGGGCACAGTCATGCTGGAACAGGACAGGGCCCTCCCCAAACAGCTGCCACAAAGTTAAATGCATATTACAGTATAAAATGTCTTTGTGTGCTGTAGCATTAACATTACTCATCATTGGAACTAAGGAACCCAAACACTGGAAAAACAGCCATAGTCCATTATCCCTCCTCCACCAAGCCTCACTATACATTCAGTACGAGTGTGCTGATGATGTCCACCAAAACCAGTCAAACCCAGACTGTAAGGCGTGAATTACCACTCCAGAGAACATGTTTCCAAGGGTGGTCTTCTTTTCACCACTACAGCCGACACCTGGCGTTGCACATATTTATCTTAGGTTGGCGTGCAGCTGCTTGACAATGGAAACCCATTTCATGAAGCTCCTGCACAGGTCTTGTGCTGATGTTGCTTCCAGAGACTGTTTGAAACTCTGTAGTAAGTGATGTAACAGAGGACAAGCAATTTTTACATGCTACATGCTTCAGCACTTGGCGGCCCCACTCAGTATTTACTGCTTTGTGGTGTGTCCTGCCTTCCGTCCATTGAACACTGGGACAGGCTCTAGCACTCCCTGTGGCCCAGGAGGATAAGCGGCTTAGAAGATGAATGAATGAATCGATCAATATGACATGTGATTTAATTTTTTGCATTAGTTGCTGCTTAAGTCACTCAAAGTATCATAACTGGACTTATCATGGACTCAAAATTGGGTCATGTTCTATGACTGGTCTCTAATGATTATCAATCAAATACTATCATATAGACCCAGAGCAACAAACACTGAAGTGTTCTTTGACTACATCCACTTAATTGAAAGAATATGAAAAATGAATGTGCAATATTTTTCAGACATTTGAAATCACTGTACAAAAAAATCCTGTACAAGACTTCACAGCTTTTATATAACTAGGAGGCTAGATGTGTCCAGAACAATGAATGGACCCATGGAGGACTCTTAAGATGACTGAGAAAGCTGTATAACATGGTAAGAATTAAATTAATTTATCATGTTTCAAAAAAGGAGATCAAATATTAATGAAGATAACCTGACAAGAAATAACGTAAATGCATAATTATTTAACAGAATTCTTAAAATATTGAATAAAACAACTAAAAATATCTTTTGGTGAATGGTTTTCAATTTGTAAAGGCATGTAAAGTTACATTACATATAATGTGGTAAGTCCAAACTTTATGCTAGTGAACATCACTAAGTTAAAATGCATCCTAAGCCTAACCTTAATCCTAGTACAGTACACACAGACTGGTCTTACCCAGTGATTGCTGGCTGTCGGACACAGTGAGCTGGTCCTGGCCACACTGTCCCGCTTCTCCCACGATGGCCAGGTCAGTAATGTGCAGTTTGACCAGTAGACCCTCATCCACGCTGATGTTCCATGAACACTGCAGGTTTGCAGGATACACATCAGGGAAGCCCACTGAGTGGATCACACCTTTACGACCAGAAAGAGTCCCAAGAGACCCACAGCCAGAGTCTGCAGAGAGAACGAAGGAATATCAGTCTGGAGAATGAACGATGCTTTCACTGAACTGATTCTGTCCATTATATATCCAGAAGTTTGTAGGTGGCTTTTCTAATAAGTGAATTCAGCTACAGATGAACTCATGGCTGATACAAGTACTTGACTGTACTACACAGCTTGTGCAATTTCCATTAAAAAGTCAGTAGAATGAGACATTATAGCAACCATACATGAGGTCACCACAACCAATGTCAAGCATAGGCTAGAGGGATACAAAGCCCCCAGCACTGGACTGTGGAGCACTGTGTGATAGAGCACCATTTAATATGATGGTGCACCATCCAATACATTTGGGATGAGTTACTAACCATCCAACATCAGTACCTGACCTCACTCTTGTGGCTGAATGCAATCAAATCCTCACAGCAATGTTCCAACATCTAGTGTAAAGCCTTCCCAGAAAAGTAGAGGCTGTTACTGCAGCAAAGGAGGACAAAGTCCCCACAAATTCCCCTGATTTTAGAGGAAACATTGGATGAGCAGGTGTCGACAGACTTTTGGACAGACAGCATTAGCTGTTTATCAGTCCATATGGGACAGAATGATATTTCCATATATGCACCACTTCTCTATCTACGTCTCTGCCCTATATTTTCTACTACTTAGTCTAAGTTTTATTGTGAAAGTAAAATCAAACAGTAATTAATTTCTTGTGCTGGCCTGTAGCAGTCCTCAGGGGAGCAGTTTCACAAAAGTCAATTTGGTCTCTATTGCTGGAGTGCTGAGAAGAAGTAATCAGAAAGAAAGTCAATATAGTTTTTGAACAGAGCTCTGTAAAGGTCCACTATGTTGAACAAGTTCATATGGGTCAATGGGTTTAAGGCTTGATTAGCTGAGAGAAGGAGGAGATGGAACATCTGTATACTCACTGACCACTTTGCGATCCAACTACCTGACTTGGGTGGTGGATCATTCTCAGCACAGCAGTGACAATGACATGGTAGTGATGCGGTAGTGCAGTCACTGCTAGGTTGCGAGTGGTCCGGCACCCAAAAATGTCCAGTCAAAAGTGGCTCTGTGGTAATTGGTGAAGATCTAGAGCAGGGGTGTCAAACTCTATCACTAAAAGGTCCACATTAAACTAAACACCAGGCATCTTTTCTTTTAGTGTAACCGCTGGCCCATAGATTGTTGTTAGGGGAAGGGGGTCAGAACACACACTATACTGCTGTGCATGCTGAGGACTGTAGTGCATCTCAGGGTGAAACAGGCAAATACAAATAGAAAATTAAAATAATTTCACGGTCCAAATAGGACTGTGTCACAGGCCTGACTCAGCCCACGGGCCTTGTGTTTGACACATGGGATCCAGAGGATGGCTAATACAAAATGTGCATGAACACATGGGCTGAAGTCTCTAGTTCTACACCAGCAAGGTGGAGCTACAAGGTAGAGTGACCACCATAAAAATAAAGATGAGGCTCTACATTTTTACATCTTTACATTAACTTGCATTAAAAGTTGAGGATTTTTTTTCCTTTTTTTGTAAAGTTGTTCCAACAGCAGCAATATGTTTATAAACTTACTCAAAGTGCATCAATATTGGAGGTTTGCACAGACATGTCTTTAAGCTCGGACTTGACTCATACCCACAACCTAGTTCATCTGGTACTGCTTAATATAAAACCCGAACTTGACCTGAACCCGCTCACATGCACTAACAGATATGGATTATACAGACAGTGCTTTGCAGTGTTGCTAACCATTTAAGTTGAATGACAGAAAATGAACTAAAAAAACTTCACGTTTACCTAAAAGCTGAGCTTTTGCTATAGCCAACACTGACTTAGCTGGCCCAAGGATGGACTATTAAACTATACATGACCAGTCTGTGTTTTATCTGATGTAAGAAGCAGGTCAGAATCCTTTTATTTTGTCCACGGTGAACAGTTAAGACTGTCTTTGTTGTACACATACTGTTTTATATTAGACACTAAACTATGAAAGGCAGATGGAAAACCTGAGGCCAGTTGCACTAGCTGTACGTAAACTCACACATAGGCTAATTGTAACATAAGTGTTTACTAAGTTCAGGTTTACGCTTTACCATGCAAGCTAGTTTTTTTTTTTTTTTTAATTTTTACCCAATTTTGTCTCCAATTTAGTCGTCTCCAATTCCACCCGCTAGTTAGGACTCCCCTAATCACACAATGCTATCAACTCTAGGAGGGTGAAGGCTAAAACAGGCTTCCTCCAAGACCTGTGAAGCATCTTGTTGAACTGCTGCTCACGCAACGTCATTGGACAGCCAAGCGTGCTCGGAGGAAAGCGCCAACCGCCTGATCTGTTACATCAGCCAACAGACGTCTGCGCTGACTAGCATCATGTTGAGTGATGAGGGGAGAAGGGGGGCCATCCTACCCACCCAGAGAGAGCGAGGCCAATTGTGCTCTCTTGGACTCCCGGCCTGTAGCATCACCAGTGATCGAACTTGCAATCTCCTGATGATAGGGCCAACGCTTAGACGGCTGCGCCACTCGGAAGCACAAACTAGTTTTAACATGGAGCTTAGTGAAAATGTTAGTGGTGAAAAATGTAGATCAGGGCTGCCCAAGCCTGGTCATGGAGCTCTACCACCCTGGAGAGCTCAGATCCAAAACAGCTGGCACCTATGTTGAGATGACTCTGAAGGTCTTCTTTACCAGGTTCAGGTTTGGTAGATTGTGATGTAGCTATAAGCCCTGCAGGGTGGTGGATCTCCAGGACCAGGATTAAGCACCACTGGAGTAAGTGGGTCACAGAAAGCACAAAAAGACCACCAAAAAATAAGCTAATAGGACTAAATGCTATGTTGTGATTTTACCTAACAGTTCTTAACATTGCACTGGTTTTAACTCTGAACAGATCTACAGGTCCAGATCAGTGAGATGCAACAGCTGGCTAAAAATAGTGTTTAAAACCTGCATATTTGGTTGTTGCATGGAAATATTAAAGAATAAACAGACAATGCCAACAAGTACTCTCTTTCCATGGTAGTATGTTTGTAGATTGGTTCCGAAGATGGTATTGTATCAAAGCAATGGGTGCATTAATTATTACTAGTTAAGGTATGACTGAAGGATTTTACAAATTTAGTAAAAAGGCTATTTTGAACTAACTAGCGTTGACCATTCATTTTACACACAAAAAAGTATAAATTTGCACAAAAAGGAGTGGACAACCTTGGACCAAGAACCACAGCTGTAGAGCTGTGCAGGCCTGTGTGGTATGTACTTAGGATTTAATACAGTTTAGAATGGTGAATTCGGCATTTACTTATGGGTGCAGATGTGGTGGATGGCGTAGTTTTAGGGGTTTGAGCGGCGGAGGTGGTGGTGGTGGATGCAGGTCTGGTGGTTGATGTTACTGGTGGATCAGTGGCCACAGTGTAGACAGCGCTGAAGCCTTTAGCAGTCTGGCCAGAGTCGCTTTTAAAACGCACCACCATCTCATTGCTACTGGAGACCACTGGTTCTGGCATCTGGTTTCCACAGAAGTGACCTGAGATGAAGGACAATCTGTTGTTGTTTATTGCTGTGAGGGTGTAAGACAATCAATAGGCCGAATGGTGTGACTGGAATTAACAAACCGTGTGCTAGACTCACCCAGTTTAGGGGCACTAACACCATCTGAATGACCATCAAAGACGTCCACAAAGTCTCCACAGGAATCAGGCACCAGGTCAAAAGCTGTAAACGTGAGTTGGACCTTCTCCCCAGCACTCACTACAATCCTCCACTGGAGACCAATACAGAAGAATCAGTCACCTGAATCATTAGCTTGTCCGTTTCAGAATTCAGCACATTGAATAGATGAAATCCCAGCACTGCAGTTTGACTCAGTACTGGTATACATTGAAGAAGATAATTTAAAGCAATACAACAAATGGACAAATTTTCCTCCTTAATGCAGTCAGTCAACCGAGGCTTGTTTGCTGTCTGCAATGTCCTGCCTTAGTTTTTGCATGGGAGCTATGAGGCTAATGTAGCTGACGTAATGTAAGCTTATAACCAACCATTTAGCATCATGCTAAAAAAATCATCCCCTGCTCACCTCATTGAGTTTTTAATAAATCTTAAATAAATTTGCTTTCCTGGTTTCTGACAATGCTAAAAACAGTAGTAGCCGCCATCTTTAGGCATAACTTTGGTCTCTACCTTCTATTTTTTTAGATAACAGTATGGCATAGAGCACAGATGTACATATGTAGATGCTGCGTTGGCCTGTTGTTCTCTGTCTGAGGCGATATGTCTGCGCGTGTACGTCATATTGGAGCAGTCAAGATCTGCTCATGAATAAGTTCACTTGTATTGAGAGATGATGAGTCTCAGGATTAAACCGGCCACAACCTCCTTATTACTCAACTGATTTTCACCAAATATGTTTTGTTGTATAATAATATGTAACTGATTCTGCTAATTAGCCGTCCGGACCAGCAGCATAGTATTCAGTTTGCACCTGCCGTTAAAAAGTTTAGCGCGAGAAACACAATCACACACACATCAGCAGATCCATCAATGTGTGAATCTCTTCTAATCATAATACACATAAAAATAAAATAAACCCCCAAAACACAGAAGGACAAAGCTAAAGTCAACTTCCTATTCGCCAGCTTCTTGTTCGAGTTTCCCCATTCCACCTTAAATGGTGCAGCAGTCACTTTCTGGTGCCTGAAGCTGCACCATTTAAGGTGGAACGAGAAAATTCGAACAAGAAGCTGGTGAATTGGAAGCCGACTTCAAGAAGGTGCTAACGTTAATCTATTATGAATATCAGATTAAGGAATGCTATAACTTACGTAGCTACAATTAACCATCACTGTAAATATCTAATTAACTTCTATATAAAGTTAAGATCCCCTGAATAGACTATTAAATGAAATAAGCTTGATATTAAACCAGAGGAAAAACAATTACATCAACAGGTTGTCGGTGTATCACCACACGGCCATATCTACACATAGACATCACACAAACAATAAACATCACACACATGAGCGTGGATTGCTGTGTTCCCTCTGTTAATCATATCCTGCTTTCTGAGTGCAATATTCTTTAAATAGTATCATGCTGCACAGTATCTTTCATAAACTGCTACTCTGTAGCTAATGGTACTGAATGCAGTCCAGCAGCGACGTTGACCGCCCTAAAATGGTGGCGCCATTGACATGACTGGCTGGACCCGGCATCCAGGCATGTATATCTATGAGCATACAGTGTCAGAAACCACATAAGCAATCTTTGAGATTACCAACTCCTCAGTGCAATTTAGGGCACATGCCTGATTATTTAGGCATGCAGATCATTTATTGGACGATGATAACCTGCTAGGTGCTACCCTTATTTAGCCGCTTTAGCCTCATACCCCCAGACATCAAGCATGTTAACTTGATTTTTTTTCTTCTGGACTATTCATTTATACTAATGCCTTCTAGCCCTGGTCCTGAAGTTTTCTTTCACTAGTCAAAACACTCGACTCAACTTACCCACTGAAGTGATGATGTTAGAGCATAAAAACAGCAAAATCTACAATTAAATGAGGCATCAGGACCTGAACTGGGAAAATTTGGCTTGACAAAAGGCACTTTCTGGTCTTAAAGGAGTCATTGCTCATAAAAACGTACTGCAGGAGGTCGTTTTGAGCATCTTTGACTTTATCAGTAACCTTTTGCACTAAGAACTTTGCAAACTGTATCACATTAGTTTTTGTGAAAGACTTGCAGGCCTGTAGGTCAGACACTGAGCAGATGCTCAGTCGTCTCAGCCAGCAGCGGTGACGAAACGTCCTGCTCAGGGCCATGACAACAGCGATCTGTCTGCATACAACACATCTCACCTGGGAACTGAACACAGCGCTCAATGATTGCTGGGCCATTACCTTAATCACTAAACCAATCTGCCTTCCATTTACTCTGTCTCTCTCTCTCTCTCTCTCTCTCTCTCTCTGTCTGTCTGTCTGTCTCAAGATTCAAGGTTTGCTTTATTGACATGACAAATTTTCATTTGTATTGTCAAAGCATTGCAGCAAATAACTGAACATATATAATAAAGTAAAATGTTCTCTCTCTCTCTCTCTCTCTCTCTCTTTCTCTGTCTCAGACTCTCTCTTTCTCTCTACCTCTCTATTTTATTCTTTCTTTCTCTTTTCTCACTCTCTCTCGCTCTGTCTCTCTGACTCTTTCTCTCTCACTCTACATCTCTATTCTATTCCATTCTATTCTATTCTATTCTAATTCTTTTCCTGACTCTCTCTATATTCTCTTTTTCACCTTTTTTACCTTTTTTCTCTGGTCGTTGCTGTCTCTCTCTCTCTCTCTCTCTCTCTCTCTCTCTCTCTCTCTCTCGTATAAATGTCTGCTCAGTTCTAAAACAGTGACAGTAGTAATTCAGATGATCTTTCTTTGTGTGTGTCCGTACGTTGTTGTGTGTCTGTCTGCTGTGTTGGAGGTTGACAGGCTGGCTGTAGATTAGCGGTTTTCGGCTCTCCGCCCGACCAGATGGAGCTGCTGAACGACAGGGAGGGTCCTAAGAATCTAAACTCCATAATCAAACACCCTCCTGTCAGAACAGCTCATCAATTCTCATCACGGCTTCACCCCAAAGCTTTTCCCTCTCCTCCGGCTGCTCTGTGGCCGAAGCTGAGTGAAATAGCTAATCAGTTTCAGCGTGCATGGCCGCTGGGCAGCAGCTTTCACTCAGAGAGCAAACTTTCTTTTTGTAGTGACTATTGTGAGGTTAGAAAAGCCTAGAGAACATTCAGTGTCATGAGAATTTGTATGTGTATCACATGTAATCAAGCCAACATTAACATCAGAACAAATTCACTGTTGTCCAACTTGCCTACAACAGGATAGGCCAGTTTGGTAGTGCAGCATTTCAAACTTCAAACTGCAGATTGCCGTAGTTTCTTATTAGGTGGAACGGAATTCTTATGGAATATTCTGTAAATCACGTCCAGCCTGGCAACAGTTGCTATGAAAGAACACATTTTTGGGCAGAGCATGATGTTGCTCTCATGCTGGAGATCAGGCTGAAGGCAGAAGGCAACAGTAAAGAGGCAAGACAGAGAGATAAAGATAGGAGAGAGAGAGAGAGAGAGAGGGAGAGAGAGAGAGGGAGAGAGAAAGAGAGAGAGAGAGAGAGAGAGAGAGAGAGATAGACAAGGAAATAAAGTGTGAAAAGAGAAGAGCAGATGGGGTAAAGAGAGAGGCTCTATAGGTTATGTGGTTAAATGAGTGTACCTGGTAGAGCACACCGCTCTCATAGCTCTGTTCAGGAAAGCCAGGGGTCATCAACTCCCCACGGTCACCCTGCAGGACACCACCAGCACCAACTATTTCTGGAAAGAGAGAGGCAGAGACAGAGAAGGATAGAGAGAGTGTGTAAAGGGTAAAGAGAGATAGAGAAAGAGAGAGAGAGAGAGAGAGAGAGAGAGAGAGTAGAGAGAGGGAGGTTAGCTGGATGACACTCGTGGGGATATTTTTCTCTCCGCCCCTCTCTCTCCTCGTCCACTCTTGTAGCCCCTCGGTTTCTAGGTCAAACACAGCGAGTGGCACATTATGTCCCCCCGCTTCCACTCTCGTCCCGCAGAACAAGATTATTTTATTCTTATCTTCACGCAGACATAAAAGGATCGTTCAAAATGGCAGCAGGTGCAGCTGATATTTCACACTGAAAATCTTCTTTTGTGTCCGCCAATAGCAGCATGGTTATTCGATTGAGCAGACATTATGTAATGTCTTTATTATTAACACTGTTATTACCTGTAACCGCCTCGGGGTCCACTGCGCGGTACATGGCTTTGAAGCCTCTGTCCGTCTGTCTGTCATTGGTGTCGAAGTAAACCACCAAACTGTTTCCCAGAGACACGACCGGCTTTGGCTTGGAATGACCGCAGTACTTCCCTGCAGGAGCAAAACGACCGATCATTAGAGACGGTGCAGATACTTAGATGGACACTGCGTTTTAAAAGTTTGAGAAAAGCTTGTCTTTTACTTTCAAAATTACTTTTCAATGAAGCATAAATGCCAGCTAATGTGTGCTAATCGTTTGGGTATATTTAGCTTCAGCTCTCCTTGTTCATTAAAGTGTCTTCCTTGACATGAAGAGCAGGTTTTGCCTAAATGATGATTTGACAAGTTTTCATTTGCAACCTATAGTTAAAAGCACATATTAAAACTCTTTTGGCACAAGAGTGGTTGAAACACCTGAAAGTTTTGAGTGCTGATGAGTTCTGATGTAATGCCGCAGGGTAAAATTGGCGGGTTCTGGCATCATTGCCACGGCAACACTGTCACAAATACTACGTGTTGTTTTCCTCCAGTAAAACTTGACTATTTTTATTAAAGACATTTTTAAAAGCTAGGTGTAAAACAGCTTTGGAAAGAAAAGGTACATCTGTCCACCCTGTGGAAGCAGAAGTAACATTGGTAAATTGAAACCCTGCATCAGCATAAATAAATGTGATTTCTGTTTCGTGTTATGAAAAAAATATGTGAAATTAATTAGAAACAACTCAACTAATTAGAACAGAATTAGTTGAGTTTTATGGGACAGAAATTCACAATTTAGGACTGCATTGTCTTACAGTAATTTTGCATTCACTTGCAATAATCTAGCTTTTCACACTGATTTTGCTTTTCTTCACAATAATTTTGTATTCCCTCACAATAATTTTGCATTCCTTCATAATAATGTTTCATTCCCTCAATAATTTTGCATTCCCTCACAATGATCTTGCCTCCCTTACAATGATTTTGCATTCCCTCAAAATAGCGAAACCGCAGAATATGAAAGACACACAATAACAACTTTAGAACCACTTTTGGTTCCCTAAAGAACCTTTCAATAGATGGCTCTTAGAGAGACCTTTTTGTAAATGAAATGTGTGTCAGGGACAGACATGATGCTCATTAAACGACTGCAAGTGATTTATTCTGATCTCCTACTGCTACATTAACATAAAACCCCCCACTCTCCTGGACCTTTAAAGTTTCAATAAGATGAGCAAGACCTCCTTAAGATGCTCATTATAGCACTGCAGTGACTCCACTGTAGTTGCGAGGATGTTTTAATGTGGAACATTGCATTGGCCCAGAATGCCAAGTGGTGGAGACTGGCTTCTAGTTGGGGGGCCGATTTTAGGCATGACATCAAAGCGCAATCTTCTTAGCCTTGGAGTGAGGAGGACACTGCAGCTGCAGGGCGGGGGAAGTGTGTCTGTGGAGCTGTGCTTGTGTCCTAATTTGGTTGAGGACCTTGCTCTCAAAACTTTTATAAGTTGTCAGTATGGGATGGGCAATATGCGGATATGTTTTTTATTCTATTATTATTCTATATTATTATTCTCATGATACAAACTCCAAAGGAGTTGGGCCAGTAGGTAAAACACACAAAAAAAAGTAGTGATTAGCCTGTATTTGAACAAAAAAAACAGTACAAAGAAAAGATATGTAATGTTTTATCTCATTAATGTCACTGTTTTTTACAAAACTTTATTCATTCTGCCAGCAACAAGCTGCAAAAATGTTGTGATAGGGGCAATTTAAGACTAGGAATGTTGTGAAATGTATTAAAAAAACAAGTGATGCAATTAAGGAGCACTCAGGAAAGGTGTAGACCTTTATGAGCGAGGGTGGGTTGACACTTGCCACTATGCCAAAAATCCAAGAGCACATATTCCAGCTGTTTAAGAACAACACCTCTCAACCACTGTTTGCAAGGATTTAAGTATTTCACCATCTACAGTGCATAATACCATCAAAAGATTCAGAAGAATCTCAAGAAATCTCTGCGCATAAAGGACAAAGCCAAAAACCACAATTAAATGCCTGTTACCTTTGACCCCTCAGACAGCGCTGGTTAAAAAACAATATGTTTCTGTGATGGATATCAATATACAGGCTTAGTAATAAACACTGTTCATTGCTGCATCCACAAATTCAAAGTAAGACAAAGTATTCAAAGTAATATGCACAGTGGAAGTCACATATCAACAACGTGCAGAAACACTGCCGACTTTTCTGGGCTTGAGCTCATCTGAAATAGGCTAATGCACAGTGGAAACATGTATTGTGGTCTGACTGTCAAATGTTTATGGAAATCATAGACGTTGTGTTCTCCAGGCCAAAAAAATAAAAGGACCATCCAAATTTTTACAGTGTAAACTTCAAAAGCCAGGGTCTATCATGGCATGGGGGTTGCTAGTGTATAGCTTGCACATCTATAAAATCACTGTTAGCACTAAACACACTTTGGAGCAACCATGCTGCCTTCTAGATCTTTTTCAGGCACATCTATGCTTATTTCAACATAACAACACCAAGGAACATTCTGCACATGTACAGAATGGCTGCGTAATCAGAGAGTGCAGGTGCTAGACTGGCCTTCCTGCAGTCTAGAAGTGTCTCCAGTTGAAAAAGTGTGTCTAATTTAGCTCAAAATATGACAACAAAGGCCCTGTACGGTTGCATAGCTAAAGACTTGTATAATTGAAGAATGAAAAAAAATCTGCTTTCAAACCTGGATGAATTGGTGTGTTTAGTCCCCAAACCACTTTGAAGTGTTGTTAAAAGGTGATGTAACACAGTGGTAAACATGCTCCTGTTTCTTGAAATGTTTCGAGGACATCACATTTGCAATGAGCGCATTTATATTATTAAAAACAAATTTAGACTAATTATAGAGAGTCTGTAAACAACAACAGACAATGTACAGTGTGGTAACAGTGTACTGTGTAAAGATTACATTTTTCCTCCTGTTCCTTCTAAATAATATTTCATTATATTTGCATTATTATAGTTTTCATAGTCTTTTTAAAATGTGGCACAACTGTATTGCTGGTTTATTTGGTGAAGGGAAGCTTCCTCACGATGCTCAGAAAAGTTAAATATTGTGACACATATGAAAATGTCTATTGAGTTTTGTTTTTTAAATAGGGTGCACTAATCACATATTGTTATGGGCAATTCTGATTTCTTTGCAGCCAAATTGGCCGATGGTCACATTTTTGGCCAATTTTATTAGCCTTTATTTTCATCCTGAAGCTCACACTGTGTGAAGTAAACAAACGTTAAACAAAGAAGCGTGTTTTGAGTAGGGGTGTCACAACATGCATGTTAATATTAATTTTTTTATACAGGGGTTGTGAGACAGTATTTGCCTGAATGAATCGAATATAATTACATTTCATCCTATAGAATGTGTGCTATTGGTTTCTTTAGTTCTGTTAAACCAGTTGATGATGTTCCTAAAAATAAAAACCATCAATGCAAAAAAAAAACTTTGATGCACAGCTCTTGGAACTGGAGCAGGTTTGGTTAGCCTGCCTTTAGCAAGCTTATTTGCCAGCTTCTTTTTTTCCTCAGGCACAAGAGTGTAACTGCTGCACCATTTAACACACTCCAGAAATATTCAAAGGTCAAAGGAAACTATGTTTACTTTGGGTGGTTGATTAGCTAAGCTGTTTAAAATGGCAAGCATAGAGAGCAAGTTTGGCTGGAAAAAGCCAAAAGTTATCCTCGCATTCATCTCCTTTTGGGGAACACTTCGGTTTGCCAGTCGAGTACAATAATGACGAGCGAAGGGTAAGAAACTGAAAGATGACAGCATTCTGATAGTTGCTCAATGCGAATATCAAATATCCATTCTAACTAATTTGCAAAGACATCAAACAAATGTCTGTTATTGAAGTGAGGAGAAAACTCGAGTCGCAGCAGCTATATCTCCAAACTGATTTAAGCAGCCAGGAAGTGCTGATTCTGAACAAATAGCTCTGACAGGGATGCTTATTGCTTGCAAGTTACTCAGTTGTAGAGTGCTGGATTTTGCAGTCTGCTGGACGTGACTGAGATGCATTAGAAAACACTTGGCCATGCTTTATATACCCACACTAGATCTGACTATAAAATGACTTTTAAAATTCAGTTAATTTAATTTTGAGATGTAGCCTTATAGCCCACACATTTGTGTTTACTTTTATTGTTATGAGCTATAATAATACACACAGGTTTATGTGTAATAAACATCTTGAACTTTTGTTTGTATTAGTTTTAATGTTTGTTTTTTTTTTACATCTTTTAAGAAAATGACTTGTGATAATTATCCCTTCAGCAAGCACTGTTGTCTTTTTTTGGGGGGAAATAAATAAATAAATAAATAAATGTTATGTTAGCATTACTTTTCTAATTCTTTATCAGAAACATATTGTGTTGGGGAAAAAACAGCTATGTGTATCACATGAGATCTGCATATCGTTACACCCCTAGTTTCTAGTGCTTTCTACTAGCTAAAGCTGTAATATAAACACCATTATTTGTCTTTTTACAGGCAAACTGACTTTTACTTAAACACCATATCAGTTCAAACCAATGTGAAGCAAATAAAGTAGTATGTTGAAAGAAAGTGGTAGCTGGCTTTTTAGCATAATGACCATACTGATGCAGTCATGCACTTACTTGGCTCACATTATTTCTGTCATTAAACTGTGGCACAGATCAACACAAAAAAACCCAACTACTAATAATGCTTGGAGTAAATATACAATCCCTTCTTAGCCAATTCCAATCATGCATCCCTCATTTTCACCATATCGCCCACTCCAATAGTTATCAGTATATGAATATAAACTCTGAAGTGGCTTAATCCCACTCCAGCTCACACACACACACACACAGAGACACACACACACACATAGATTAGCTGACACCACGTAGTAGCTCTATTGCACTATTGAACAGTACATTTAACCTTGTACAAAACATCCAGGCCAATTCTCGTTACTTAGCCTTCTACAACCTTGTACTACATTTAGAAAATAGGAAATTTTCACTTTGCTCTGCTTGCTTTCAGTCTGGTATCTTTATAGGTACATTAGGTTTAACTGCTTTTATTCTAAACATTCTTT